TCCAGAGTCTGCAGGCTTCCCTGAGTGGAAGGGTGGGGAATGCAAACTCCGTCTGCAGCCTGGGCTTCAATATGAATTGCACCCGTACACACTTCCCTGCGATTGTTCTCAGTTTGGATGTAATCCCTGTAATTGTTCATAATTGTCCCAGTTTATTTCTGTGATGCCTGCAATAGTCTTCACTTTCATTATGTTTTATTTATTTGCATCTTCTTTTTTAATTAATTTAACTAAAAGTTTTCATGTTTTTCAGAAAAGCAGCTTACTTTTATTTGATTCTTTTGGTTTTTTTGTTGTTGTTTGATTTATTTCTGTTTTAATTTCTAACTTCTCTGTTAATTTCTGCTGCTGTTTCTCTAGTTCTTTAAGGCATACTATTGGGCCATGTGCAGTTTTTCTTCCTTTATGATGTAGGTGTTCATTACTGTGTCTTCCCTGTTAGAACTATTCTTGCTGCATCCTGAAGGTTTGTGATGTTCTGTGTTTACGTTATTGCTTGGCTCAGAATGTTTCTGTGTCTTCTTTTTATTTCTTTTTTGACTGATTGTTACATTTCCACATTCTTAAGAAAATTTTCCAAAATTTCTCCTGCTAATTATTCCTAGCTTCATAGTATTGTGATCTGAAATGACACTAGAAACAATTTGAGTCTCCTTAGATTGGTTTATTTTGTCACCTCACTCATTGTCTTATCCTAGAGAATGTTCTATGTCCGAGGAGAGAAGCACATAATCTATTATGGTCAGATGGAAAGTTCTGGTATGTCTTCTAGGTTCATTTGGTCAAATAGAAAATTTCAGGACCCTGTCACACACCCATTCCCCAGCGTGGGCCCTGTCAGACACCCATCCCCAGCGTGGGCCCTGTCAGACACCCATCCCCAGTGTGGGCCCTGTTGCACACCCACTCCCCAGCGTGGGCCCTGTCACACACCCATCCCCAGTGTGGGCCCTGTCGCACACCCATCCCCAGTGTGGGCCCTGTCGCACACCCGCTCCTACAGTCGAGCCCTGTCTGTCACATACCCCCTTCCATGCTTTGTTGGCAGATCATTAATCGCAGTGTTTTGGTGGATGACATCTTATCAAGACTCCTTTTTTTTGGTTAGTAATTTTTCCACATTCTGGCTTCTCAGGATTTCTTGTCAGCTTAGACACCTGTTTTGGACATATAGTTAGGAATATTTTATTTCTGTGTTTGAAAGCAGAGTGATAGAAAGATTGATTCCTTCCTTCTGGTGGCTTACTTCCCGTTAGCTCCAACAGCTTTGTGTATGTCGGACTGAGGCTCAGCGCCAGGGGCTCCATCCTAGTCTTCCGTGTGAGTGGCAAGGAGTCCTTGGGCCGTCATGCACTGCCTTTCCAGCCCAGCACCAGGAGAGATGGCCCGGAAGCTGGTCAGTGCAGACCTGGAGTGCCCCGACACAGGATGCTGGCCCAGCAGTGGTGACCCGACCTGCAGTGCCTCTATCCTGTTTCGGAAATAAAGTGCTAGGGTCTGAGCATGTGTGTGACCTGCTCTGCTGAGAGAAAAGGAAGTCTCAAGTAACTTGTTGGGATTTGTGTGTGTGTGTGTGTGTTTCTCGTGTAGCAGTGTTAAGTTGGGGAGGGATTAGCAACCCCCCATCAGAATAGGTCTAAACAATCAGGACAGGAGGTCTTCCTGTAGACCGCTACATGACTTGGGGTGCCTGGTCAGGCGTGTTGTAACTCAGAGAAATACTAGCGGGAGAACTAGCTGACATTTATAAACATGAAGACGTGGAGATAACAGGCATTTTTAGAGATGTATGCTTCTCCAGCATTTCTTACACCACAAGCAACTGTGGCTTCAGGTAAGTCAGACAATTCTAACCTCCCCTTATCCTTGCCTACCAAGGTATTGCACCTGTTTAGGCCCTGAGGCATTGAGTCCAGCAGGGCGAGCCCCTGGTCATCTCCTGTGTGGTGTGCCCTGAGTTCGGCTGCCACACTGACCTTGTGGCATTTTAGAATTGGATTGTTCCCTTCTTGCTGCTTACTAGACCCAAAAGGTTCTGACCATGTGCTTGGAGGTCAGGACAGAGCACCTCCAGCTTTTCTGCCTGTAATCTGAATTGTTGGGAGTACAGAGGACTTAAAATTCCTTTGGCAATTTCAAAAGAGGATAGTAGAGATAAAAATATAAGAATGTTTTTAATTTTGTTATCTAGAAGTGATCACTTAATATCTTGGCCTTTTGTATTTTCAAATAATTAGGACTATACTGCATATTCACCTTGTTACTGGTGTAACATTTCTAATTTCAGTAAACATTTTTTATCAGAACTGTTAAATACTTGCATAACATACCGTCAGTTGATGAACCATGATTTATTTCACCATTTTCCTGTTGGCATTTTACCTCATATATAAAAAAGGCAGTAGTTAGCATTCTTGTCTTATACACAATTGTAAATGTCTTGAATTATTTCCTCAATGTATTTTGAAGTATTTGCTTTTTATTTATTTGAAAGGCAGAATTGCAAAGAGAGGAGAGACAGAGGGAGAGCTCTTCCATCCATTGGTTCACTCCCCAGATGGTGGGCGTCTGGGCCAGTCTGAAGGCAGGAGCCTGGGGCTCCCCATGGGTCTCCCACGTGGGAGCGCCCAGGCCCTGTGGTCTTCTCCCGCCCTTTTCCAAGGTGCATTAGCTGGGAACTGGATTGCTGGTGGAGCCGTTGGGGGCCAAGCTGGTGCCCATACGGGATACGTGCACTGCAGACAGTGGTTTAAGCCTCAAAGCTATGGTGCTAGCCCTGACTTTAGAATATTTTTATAAATAGCTACTCATGGGGTATAAATATTTTCATGACTCTTGATATATATTACACATTTTGCCATAGGAATCTTAAAAGATACCAGTTTATATAACTACATATTTTGCTACATTTTTTTTTCAAAATAATGTCATAGTCCTGTGGAAGTAATTGTTTTTAAAGATTTATTTTTATTATTTTTTTATTGGAAAGGCAGATATACAGAGAGGAGAGACAGAGAGGAAGATCTTCCGTCCGATGATTCACTCCCCAAGTGAGCGCAACGGGCCGATACTATGCCAATCCGAAGCCAGGAGCCTCTTCCGGGTCTCCCACGCGGGTACAGGGTCCCAAAGCTTTGGGCCGTCCTCGACTGCTTTCCCAGGCCACAGGCAGGGAGCTGGAAAGGAAGCGGGGCTGCCGGGATTAGAACCAGCGCCCACATGGGATCCCGGGCGTGCAAGGCGAGGACCTTTAACCACTTGCTCCACCGCACCGGGCCCGAAGTAATTGTTTTTAAACATATCCAGATGAAATTCACGTTTTTTCAACTTCTGCTGAGATTGGAATTGTTTACCTATGGATACCTGCTAGAGGTTTTGAAATACATTTTTCCCTATTACCATGCTTGTTTCCTGATTTGTAGATTTGAGATAGAGAGACAAATTGAGTTTTGTATGTGTTTTTTATTCAGATTTTTGATTTTTGGTTTTGATTAGACAATGTTTTGCCATCTTGAGTTCTAAGTGTCCACGTGAAGAACTATGCTACCTTTTCATCCTGATTTCTCTCCCTTCCTCCCGGGAGCCGTGGGCGGTGATGTCGCCCACCCCAGGGCCGGGAGGTAGTCCCTCGGCATCCCTGCACTGTGACCTGCGTCCTGCGTCCTGGCTGTCTTCCCATGTCTTCACGGTTCTCTGTCTTTGTATTGCTTTGGGATGCTCTGCAGGGCGCCCTGTGGAGAACCAGGGGCATGCTGTGTCTGCCCTTCTCTGAGTAGCTGTGCTGTCATTTTCCTTCCTTCTCCCCCTGATGTCAGGCATCGTCTTGGTTCCAGTGTGTGTGCACTAAATCTCCACATTCTGGTATTCTCAGTTTTTTTTTCCCCTTAAATATTTATTTTTATTGGGAAGGTAGATTTATAGAGAGAAGGACAGATAGGGAGGGAAAGAACGTCTGTCTGTTGATTCACTCCCCAAATGGCTGCAATGACTGGAGCTGAGCTGATCTGAAGCCGGGAACCAGCTGCTTCTTCTGGGTCTCGAATGCAGGTGCAGGGTCCCAAGGCTTTGGGCTGTGCTTGACTGCTTTCCCAGGCCACAAGCAGGGAGCTGGAACATGAACTAGTGCCCATATGGGATCTCGGCACATGCAAGGCAAGGACTTCAGCCACTGGGCTACCAAGCCAGGCCCCTTGTATTACATTCTTAATTACTGTAGCCTAACAGGTGGTTTTGATGTCATTGGGGTCCCAGTCTTTTTTTCCCTTCAAATTGTGTGGTCTGTTCTCTGCCCTCTGCATCTGAGTTTTAGAGTCAGCTGTACTTTCAGTGCTGCTTCCTTTTGACAGCCGCCATCAGCTGCATCCGGTCCAGTCCTGTTGCTGCCTTGTGGTACTGGTCCCTGAACTGCCTTTTGCCGTTTTGCCTCCTCCCTAGTTCTTCTGGAACTCTCTCTGGGTGGTTACGTTGTCTGTATAGCCAGAATGTCACCAGTTCTCCCTGTGGGGAGTATAGATGTGTCCTGTTTTTGGATCTTGCACCTGCTTTCACATCTTACAGGTCCTCGTTGGCAAGGTGGGTGTTGTGTAGTTTGTTTCCCTCTTGCTCCACGCAGCGTGAGTAACTTTGATCGAGAGGTTTGCGATATACTTTCTAATAAAGACACTAGCATGTATTTCATTGGAGGAAAGAGTTGCTGTAAACTAGGTATACTTCTTTAATTTGCTCTATCTGTGATTTACTGTAGAGAAGTATTTTAAAGATTATTTTTAATGTGGTATCCTGGAGAGATGTATAAGAATTGAGAATTGTAGTGTTGAGAGATGAATGGGTTTGAAGCAGTTCTTTGCATCACACTTGATTGTGAGAAAGCCAGAGGGGAACAGAGGCAGATCTATGGGTGTTGTGATTTTTTTTGGGGGGGGGGAGGGGAGGTATTGTGCATTTTGAAAGAAGTTAACGTTGGGTCCTTACATTGTGTAACTTGTCCTTCCTCTTTGTAGCCTCCACCAGGCAGTGTGAAAATGCCCAGTGCACCTAACACACAGCCCGCCATCATGAAACCAACAGAGGAACACCCAGCTTACACACAGGTTGCCAAGGTTAGTTCCAAACAAGCCCTGCTCGGGTCTGTTACTTTGTTTAGCTGTGTGAATCTGTGTCAGAAGTTAACAGTAACAATGACTTATGTGTTCAGAACAAAGTAATTCTTCGTAGGCTGCGTTCCTTGCATTTCAGCTCATTTTGAGTCTGCGTTAGCTATCTTGTCTATAAATATTTGTTCCTCTGTGTCAGTTTGATTTTTGGTTACAAACATTGAATTCCTCTATCATCCCGGTGTGCAGTTTGTGTAATGAAGTGTTTATTGCCTTTGGTCTGGCTGTGTAGCGCTACCGCCCATGATAGATTACTCAGTACTGACAAATGTGACTGGGAAAGAGGGAAATGGCTGAGCCATGGACAGGCGGAAGGTGGCAGAGACACCCGGCATCAGGCAAGGGTGGATGGAGTTAAAGTCGAGTGTGTTGTCCGAGTCCTTCTATTTCAGCCCAGTCACTTGTGACCGGAAAGGCCCCTGAAGTGCTGCGTGCTGAGAGCTTTCACCCAGGGGCCGCCCTGCTCCCTTTGCTCTGTCGCCCTCAGCTGCCTTCCTCTGCCTGTTGTTCACCGGCCGTCAAGTGCCGATGCCCTCTCCCCTGGATGTTTCTGGATTGCCCAGGGACTCTGCTCTTCACAGGAGAGCGGTGCTTTCGGGCTCCCTGAGGGACTGGGCTAGTCCAGATAGCCCGTTGTATTTTCGGAAGCTCCCTTTCTTGAGTGGATCTGTCTGGGTAAGGCTTGGATCACCAAGAGTGAAGTGAGTCTGTTCTCGTGCTTTGTGCTTGCACAGCCTGTTCACCACCTGGTGCTTTTTGTCTAGGAGCATGCCTTGGCCCAAGCCGAACTTCTTAAGCGCCAAGAGGAGCTAGAGAGAAAAGCTGCAGAACTAGATCGTCGAGAGCGCGAAATGCAGAGCCTCAGTCAACATGGTAGTATGGGGAGTTCCGCACCTTGGAGCGCCTGTTGGGCCTGCCGAGGAGACGCAGCTGGGTGCCGGCTGGGTGCCTGCGGCTGTGTGCTTTGACTAAAGTACATTCCCAGGTCTTACCTGTCTGCTGAGTGTGCACACCTCCCCACGCAGTACAAGTGTGTTGGTTGGAGTGTGCACGCAGCACTGCCTGGGTCTGTGCAATCATGACAGATTGGTCTGGGCGTGTCTTACCTGATGTATTCAGGCCAGCTTCGGAGACTCTGCCCCAGCCTTCATGGGCACCATATGTCATATTTGCCATGTCATCTAGAAAAATGTGTGTGCTTGCCACTTGGCAGCCCAGGCTGGTTGTATGACGTCCAGGAAATAGGTACTGAATTATTTGCCATGAGGTCTGTCCAGGCTCCGGCTAGGAAAAGTCACCTGCTGGGAGTGTCCTGGGGAAGCTGACCATCTCTGGGTGGGAAGGGGTTAGACAGCTGGGCAAGTTGTGCAGGTGGTGTGGAGTGGCCAGGCTCAGAAAGCTGCAGTACTTTTTGGAATGTGCAGGTCTAGGGCCTCGTGGGGACAGCTTGGCCCTGGGTTATTTTCTTGCTACAGGCAGCATTGGAATCAGAAACCACAGCAGCCGAAGCTGCAGGTCTAAAGGGGAGGCACGTTCCTGAAAGCCTGTAGCTGACACCTCTCCTATTTGCTTTACACTAATAGCAAGTGCTGCTGGGAAAGGTTTTGGTAAAAGCAGCAGGGACGGGTAGGAATGGCCTGTTCGGGAGGGTGTCAGTCAGTCCCAGTGCTGTCAATCCAGTGGTCAGGGCAACCCTTACACACGGACAAACCACAGCTCCAAGGGGTCAGGCAGGCAGTCACAGAGCCCTCTTGCTCATTGCCATGCCCTGCCGCTGTGGGACTAGTATGACAGTGTCACGGGGAGACGCCGAGCAGCCCTCAGGCAGGTCGTGCGGGGAGAGGCTGTGGCCTTTTTATGAGAGTTGTGGGGGATGACGTCTGAAGTGCAAGGCCCCTAGGTGCAGTCTTCACCCTCTAGTTTTATCTTATGACTTCTTGCTTTTTTTCTAGTTTCCCATGTCTTATTTTCAATTTAGTTTCTTCATATGGACACATTTTTTCCTCTCTCACTTGGATTTTTTTTTCTCCAGACGTTTGAAGGTGTTATAATTTCTCAGCTTCTTTCTCATAACTGTTTTTTTTCCCCCTCAAAGTTTTTTTTTTTTTTGAAGTCTCAGATTCCATGTTTGACTCTTTGCCATTGATTTAGTCTTTGTTTCTTGATGGGGTCAAAGAAAGCCTAAGGGTTTTGGAAACTGGTCTTCCCTGTCCACTGGGTTAGGAGTGACCCAGCCTTGTGTCTCAGGCTTGCGGGTGCCCAGGAGGACACTGACGCTGCGGGCTGACTCCTGGGGCTCGAGTAAGCCTGGCCAGGGCTTCTGTCTCTTGTTTCTCCTTGACGTAGATGGCTCTTGCTAAAAGTTACAGACACAAACCTGCAAAATGACCCCGCCATCTATTTTGTAAAGTGATGTTTTGAGAATTTTTTTTTAAACTTGGGTTTTTAGAGTATTAAATTTGTAGAGATACAGTGATTTTTTTTTCATTATGAAACAAAAAATGAGGGTGGAGTTTATTTGTTGAAATGTTGGTGACATTTGTCTTTTCACTTCCAGGTCGAAAGAATAACTGGCCGCCCCTTCCTGCCGGCTTCCCTGTGGGCCCCTGTTTCTACCAGGACTTTTCTGTAGACATTCCCGTTGAGTTCCAGAAGACAGTGAGGCTGATGTACTACTTATGGATGTGTGAGTAGAGAGCAAGCTGCGTGTTTGTTTAGAGTTGCTGGGTCTGTTGTCACAAGCCACCTGTTCTTGGGGTTGACATGGTAAGGGCAGCGTTTTAAATCAGTCATCTTTTCCCACAGATGAGTATTAGTGATTGTGGTTTTAAGAGTAGAAGATGTTATTTAATTACTTCCAAGGCATCCCTCTGGGACACTGTAAGTCCTCGGCTGAGGAAGACCTGTGTGTTGAGGTTTGACAGAATGTATATACTGTTCTCATGTGGAGACAGTCTATCTTAAAATTCTAGGAAATGTAGGCATTATGGCTATTTTTAAAAGAGAAGGAAACATTGTAATATTATAAGCTATATTTTTTTTCACATGGTCAGGACTGCTTCACTATGCACATCTGGAACGATTTATTGAGCTGAGCAGTAGAGCGAAGCTTTGGGCGGTGACGCTCACAGGGCTGTGCGTGGAGTCACAGTTCCGGAATGCGGAGAGCCAGCGCCAGGTTCCTGGCTGTCCTGCTGCAGTCCGGCTCTTAGTGCAGACTTCCCGCCTGCTCCCTGAGCGGTTGCTACTCCGCGGTAGTCTTGGCCTGCCTGGTGCCGTCACGCCAGCAAGGGAGGTGGCTGTGGTGGCTTCTCACCTGTGTGGCAGCCATGTGGAACAGCAGTTTGTGGGGGACATCATTGGTAGATGTCCTGTGTGTCTTTCCTTGTGATTAGTGAGCCATTATCCTGTGAGTAGATGAGGTCATCCCCATGAAAGGTCTTCTAGCGATAATCTTTTCTGAAGTGAATTACTCAAGGTATTTGAGACACAGGACAGGGACATGGAGAGTGATTTGTCTGCCGCTGGGCCCTCAAGTGCCTACCAGGGCCAGGACGGGGCCAGACTGAAGTGAAATTCAGTCCAGGTCTCCCACATGCGTGGTGTGAAGCCAAGCACTCCAGCGGCTGCTGCTGGTGTGCAGGCAGTGGCCCCGCCGGAGGCTGGATCCAGGAATGACGGAATGCAGCTGGTCCAGGCAGCGTCCTGACTGCGATGTTCAGCGCCTGTCTGTAGCACTGTTTGCACTCCTGTGAAATTATTTTGCTGTAGAGAAGTGATTCCCTATGGATAGTACTGGTTGAAAACTCTTTGTTTTGTTACTTTTAAAGGACCTTGTTGATCCAGTATCTTTTATGGAGTTCCTAAGGTCTGTGATAAATATCTTGGGGCTTAGAGGTGAGGGGCAAGCCTCTGCCCTAGGGGTTAAAGGTGAGGGGCAAGCCTCTGCCCTAGGGGTTAAAGGTGAGGGGCAAGCCTCTGCCCTAGCTGGGAAGCTACTGTTTGGAACATCTGACCTACATTGGAGCACTTGAATCAACTCCCTGGCCCTGCTCCCAGGGCTAGCTTCCTGCTGATGTGTGATCCGAAGGAGAGCAGGTTATGGCTCAAGGACCTGGTCTCTGCCACGCTTGGTGGGTCCTGGAATTGGGTTCCTTGCTTCTCGCCTTGACTTGGCTCAGCTGTTGCTGCTGTGGGCATTTGGGAGCCGATGCATGGGCGGGAACCTGTCTCTGTCCTCCAGTAAATAAAAGTGAAGAAATCATACATGTACATGCTAACCAACTCATTAAAAATAATCAGTATATTTTATATACATTTATATGTAGATATGCATAGATTTTAAATGGCTTATATTGGATCAACATTTTAGATGTAAATTCTTGTATTTTTTTTATGAAGGAGGTAGGTTAGAAGAAAATTATACAAGGAATGTAGTGTAGATTGGATGGGATAGGTATTTTAAGCTAAACTGTATATTACTTAGCTACGTTGAGTGCTTCAAAATGGCTCTGCTTTGTTTTGAAACATGTTAACTTTCTGGGGCTGGCGCTGTGGTGTGACAGGTCCAGCTGCCACTTGGAATGCTGACATCCCGTGCTGGACTGCCCGTTGCTTCCGACTCAGTTTCTTGGTAAATCCCTTGGGGAGGCAGTGGAGGATCCCTGTCGCCCCTGGAAGTCAGCCGGAAGTCCCTGGCTTCTCGCTTTGTCCTGGCCCAGTCCTGGCTGGCTGGCATTGGCTTTTGGAAGTGAGCCGGTAGATGAAGAGCCGTCCCTGTCTCTGTGTCTCTCTGCCTTTCATATAGTAAATTAATAAGCAAATCTGTAAAGAAAGAAGCGGGTGACTTTGGAGATCTCAAAAGTAATGTACAGTTTTCTCTACCCTTGTTCAGTTGGCATATCTGTTGTCCACAGTAAAGTGGAATCAAGGTCCCAGCTAGGTTTCTGTCTTGAAGGACCGTTCCCAGTTCAGTAGCTCAGTGCGACAGGTTGTGGCTGGTTTGGTGTTATTTTCAAGCAGAGTCAACCTGTGGTTGATGTGGGGGCTGGCTAATGCCTGTATCCATTATGATGAGAGTCCGGCATTGCTAAGGATTTACTTTATGCCTGTCACAGTGCCGGTAATTTTATATATATTGTCTGTACTACCAAGTGGCTTTATATTGTTTGGTTTTATAAATGGGGAAACTAAAGCTTAGGGAAATTGTGTGGCCTTTCTGAAATAATTCAACAAGTCAGATTGGTGTTGAGTAACTTGACTTTGGAACCCCAGCTCTAGATTTCCATATTCTGGTACACAGTGCCCAAATAAGGAAGTTAACCAAATACAAATAAGAAATGGTTTCAGAGGTTCCTTGCTTAAAGCAAATAATTGATCCTATAAGTGAGCTGAAGCAGTTTGAAATGCCACAGTGAAGTGACTCCGAGCCTTCTAGCGTGTACTCCGGAGACTGTGGTGGGTGGGTAATATGCCGCTGGGTGGCCATGTGCCACATCGTGTGCAGGTCCCGCTCTTGGTTCAGTGCAGCATCCTGCCCGATGTGCCTGGAGGCAGCAGTCCGTGCTCACGCCACACGTGCTTGCTGTCATGCCCTTGGTGGGCCAGGATAGAAGCAGCTCCTGGCTGCTGTTTATGTTTGCTGGGCCTGGCTAGTTTGCGAATCTAGGCTGTGATCTAGCTTAGGGAAGATCTCTGATTCTCTGCCTTTTAAATGAATGAATAAAAAAAAAAACCTTAAAATTTTTAAATGGAAGAAAGAAAATAGCTACATTTACAGCCCTGCAGTGAGGAAGGTAACACTGTACTATACAGCTGTTTATGGCTCTGTATTACAGTTCAAGGCAGGGCAGTGATAGCGGCAAGCCTAGGCTGACGATGCAGGATTTGAATGTACAAAAAAGCAGGCATAAGCGGCTGTGGCACAGTTGCCAAAGCTGCAGGTTATGTAGACAGAATGGCTTAACTAGTCCTTCAGTGCTTACCCTCACGTGAAGCTCACAGCATAAACCCATTGCCCGGTCACTTAAACGGAATTGAAATTAGGCATGTAGAACCATGCCTTCCACGTCACCTCAGTTTATATCATGTTATTTGACCTTTGCATAAGTGGATGGGTTGTTCAGTAGATGGCTCGGACAGTTTTGTCTTCATGGGGGCACACTTAAGTGACTGAATGGTCTTGATTCTTGAAGGATGTAAGCATTTAGAAACAGAATTTGAGAGATTACCCCAAATTAAATTGATACTGTTGCACCTTTATTTGAAACAACTTTTGTGAACTGTGGAACATTTAATGCCAGACATTCATGACAGCTGTGCCTGTCTTTTAATTCCATTTTCCCACAAACGTTTTTACAGTACACTGTTAACACACACGTATTTTATTTTTCTCTCTTCGTGAAGGTGGAATGGTAGATAACCTTTAAAATTATCCCTCTGAAGGTGGAAATTTTAGAATTGTAAATATTTTGTACCTTTTTAGGCAGCTGGATGACATGTACTGCTTCAGAATCTGTTTCATGATCTCCCGAGTTCCGTCTGTAAGCCCATAACGCAGCTGCCTTAGTGGGGAAAGCATTGGGAGTAAATTTGTCAGCCTGCTTTCATGAAGCTTAAGAACCCTGATGGGATAAGAGACTGGTGCGATTCTCTTGTGAGATAAAATGCAGTAGAGTTGGGAAGTGTTCTGTTGCTGCAAGTGTGACGTCCCTAGATGTTCCGTGACTGGCTCTGTAAGACTTGGCCACATCCCAGGCCTCTCCTTGCTGCCCTGGGGCTGGGGCGTAGAGCAGGTTCAGTGTGCACTCACCCTGTGTCATCAGTAAGCGCTTTTATTTTTTTTAAAAGATTTATTTTTATTTTTATTGGAAAGGTGGATATACAGAGAGGAGAAGAGACAGAAAGGAAAGATCTTCTGTCTGATGGCTCACTCCCCAAGCTTTCACAACGGCTGGAGGTTAGCCAGTCCGAAGCCAGGAGCCAGGAATTTCCTCCAGATCTCCGACACAGATGTAGGGTCCCAAAGCTTTGGGTCATCCTCCACTGCTTTCCCAGGCCACAAGCAGGGAGCTGGATGGGAGGTGGGACTGCTGCTGGAATTAGAACCTGTGCCCACCTGGGATCCCGGCATGTTCAAGGCGAGGACTTTAGCCTTTAGGCCACAGTGCCAGGCCCTAAGTTGAGCTTTTAAAATGTAGATTCATTAAGTGTTTCATTTGTTAATTCTAATTCAGGTAGTAGTTGGTGTATTTTTATTACATTGGTAGTTTATATATAACTACTTTAGGTTTCTTTCCAGTGAGTCAGCGTGTGAATATCTTTTTAAAAATATTTGTTTTCATTTGAAAGGCAGATTTTACAAAGAAAGGATAGAGAGTTCTCCCATCCTCTGGTTCCCTCCCCAAATGGCCACCAACAGCCAGAGCTGAGCTGATCCAAAGCTGGGAGCCTGGAGCTTCTTCCGTGTCTCCACATGGGTCTTTCCTCCACTGCTTTCTCGGCCCTAAGCAGGGAGCTGGATGGGAAATGGAGAAGCTGGGACATGATTATGTGCCTATTCGGAATGCCAGGACCGTGGGGTGGAAGATGAGTTGGCTGAGCTTCCATGCCAGCCCAGTGAATACATTTTTTTTTTTAAAGATTTATCTTTATTATTATTTTTTTTATTGGAAAGGCGGATATACAGAGAGGAGAGACAGAGAAGAAGATCTTCCGTCCGATGATTCACTCCCCAAGTGAGCGCAACGGGCCGATACTATGCCAATCCGAAGCCAGGAGCCTCTTCCGGGTCTCCCACGCGGGTGCAGGTTCCCAAAGCCTTGGGCCGTCCTCGACTGCTTTCCCAGGCCACAGGCAGGGAGCTGGAAGGGAAGCGGGGCTGCTGGGATTAGAACCGGTGCCCATATGGGATCCTGGGCGTGCAAGGCGAGGACCTTTAACCACTTGCGCCACCGCGCCGGGCCCCAGTGAATACATTTTTAAAATAGTATTATAGAGTAGTTGTAATCAGAGTATAGCTAGATGTTCTTCCGAGATTTTGCTTTTGACTTGTTAGGTGAAGCAAATATTGACAGCATAGGAAGAATCTATTGTGGTTTATTTGTGTTAACCAGAAGAAAGGCCAGCTGCAGTGTGGACATATGTCATATTATTATTATTTTTTAAAAAGATTTATTTATTTTTATTGGAAAAGTGGATATACAGGGAGGAGGAGCGACAGAGAGGAAGATCTTCCGTCCGATGATTCACTTCCCAAGTGAGCACAACGGCTGATGCTGGGCCGATCCAAAGTCAGGAGCCTGGAGCTTCTTCCAGGTCTCCCATGCGGATGCAGGGTCCCAAGGCTTTGGGCTGTCCTTGACTGCTTTCCCAGGCCACAAGCAGGGAGCTGGATGGGAAGTGGAGCTGCTGGGATTAGAACTGGCACCCATATGGGATCTAGGCGCGTTCAAGGCAAGGACTTTAGCTGCTAGGCCATGGTGCCGGACCCCGTATATCATATTATTGGCGGGGGGGGGGGGCTTGTCTTCTCAGAGGAGAAGCCCTGAAAATACTGCTTTTCTACTTTAGTGGTACAATTCTCTATGATGAGGAGAAACCTGCAGAGTTTTTTGGCCAGTTTTGTAAATTTTGCCTTAAAATAAGAAGCAGCAATGTTTTTTACATAAATCCTAATGGAAATGTGGAGTAGAGCGCCTTTGTTTTTGGTAAGCTTTCATTGACAGTTTTTGTTGAATGAACTCGTCCATTGAATGTAAGCCTCTGTGTTCTGCTTTGTGATTTCGCAGTCCACGCTGTGACACTGTTTCTGAACATCTTCGGATGCCTGGCGTGGTTTTGTGTGGACGCCACGAGAGGAGTTGATTTTGGACTGAGTATCCTGTGGTTCTTGCTGTTTACTCCTTGTTCATTTGTCTGTTGGTACAGACCACTTTACGGAGCTTTCAGGTAAAGTGTGCGTAAGTTTATATATGCTCTTTAAAGTTTTGGAGTAGATAACTTTGATGCATTTTCATTAAAAATTGTTTTAAAATGTGTAACATCCCAGTATAGCATGCCTGTGTATTCATTGGGTTTTGTAAGTCCTAAAAGCTCGTTCTATATACTACTTACAAAAGTGATCAAATATGAGAATAATGTCTTAGCTGTATGATCTGTAAAAAGATAGTTCCTTGTGGTAAACTGTAAGGAGAATATTGTCTTCCATTCCTGCCCCCATCCCCAAAAGCACAGCTGGTGATTATTGTCTTAATCTTTAAATGAATGTAAGTAAGGTTAGCTTTTACCCCAGCAGCTTACTACTATTTGTATACATCTATTTTTGTGACAGTCTAGGCTACAAGATTCACTGTAATAAATTTGCATAGCATATGCAGTCATGTCAGGAATAACATTTCCTAAGGCATGTTCTGTGGGAAATTGATAGATGTTAGGGACAAGAAGTTTATTGACTTTAGTTTAAGAAGGGGAACATGATGGGCAGGATTGTTCATTGCAGAATTTCTTAGATTCTTTATGCGCTTTGGTAACCAAAGACTTCTGTGAAGCATCATGCTGAAGTGTTGCTGTAAGAGATGAATGTTGGGGAATATTTGCAGTACAGCCTAAAATGGGTCCACATGTCTAGGAGTTTATCCAGTTGCTTTTATCTGGAGAAGCTTTCTGAATAAGGAATGTTTTCAATTCCCGTGGATGAGGGGTGACATTGTCAGGGGCCAGGGTGTGTTGTCGGATGCTGACAGGGAAGTTCCAGGGCCACACTCAGTCCTTCACATTTGTTGCCTTTTCACACAAGATGTCCCCCATTAGCTGGAGTGTCTGTCATGCTTCCTCCTCCCCCTGAGCTAAGAAGTGAAGTGTAAGCAGGTTAGGGATTAGGCCTGAAAGAAAAAAAAAGGTGGGGCACATTAGGGAATTTGGAGAGAAAGGAGGCTAGGAAACGGGGTAGAAAAGTGGTTACAAGTAGAATGGAGGAAGGAGAGAAAGGTGGAATGAACCTGTGGCTGTGCTGGGATGTGGGAGGTTGGTTGTCCCGGAATGGGAGAATCCCTGCTGTAGCTGTGTGTTGGGAAGCGGTGGATGGGGCCTGGGGACTCTTATCACGTGGAGGGGAGAGACTGCTGCCTGGGAGGGCTGGCCCATGTGGCACTTATCCAGGCTCCAGTGTGTCATCTCAGGGTACTGGTGAGTGGGAACTGGGCTGTCTATGAGACTTTGTGTGAAGATTTTCTGGGATCCGTGTGTCTGAACTTGGGTATTGAATTACTTGGACACTTGTTGGTCTATTTGGACAGTTAGATTACCACCTAAGATACTTGCATCCCATGTTGGGGAACCTGGGATGGTATTAAGGGAGAAGGCCCACCCAATTTCCCACCCTCCCCAGGTCCCGCATGTAGGGTATGCTCTGAGGTTCTTGCTCAAGTGGTTTTGATAGTTCACCAGTTATGAATCGCTGCCAATCTTGCCACTCCAAGCACTATGAGGTCTTTGAAGAATCCACTGATTGACATAGTCCATCATAGAGTCTCTGTTTGCCCCGTATTTCGCTGCCAACATATAGCTAAGATGGTTGGTTGACCTGTTCTGTCTTCTCTCTTTTCTTGGTTAGGGTTCTGAGTCCAGCATTTTGTTTGGGGAGATCTCCAAAGAAACTTTGAGGTGTTCTCAATCAGATTCTTGTATGTGCTAGCAAGTACAGGGCCCGGTACAGTCCATCACCCCAATCAGCTGATGGTTGCGATCGCTGGGTTGGTTCTGTTTTCAGTCCCGACTTCCACTGGAATCAATGAGTGTTGCAGTCTAGCCTGGTTCTGCCCAGCACATACTCGGCCCTCGCATAAACAAGTGGGAGCTGCAGCCTAGCTGGAGCGACCCACACTAACCCCCACCAGGCCCGCCCCCTATCCTGGTTTGCCAGTATGTGTAGCCGTAGTCCAGCCTGTCCCACACCACATTCTGCCCCAGCCCCTGTCCTGGTTTTCATGCCCTCCCGTGGAAGTGGTAACCCAAGAGGGAGGAGCCCACTATTTCCCTCCCAGGCCTCTCCCACTTCCGGATTATGCACTCTCCAGGTAGTTCTGTGGTTTGACTTATCAGAACTAGCCCCCAGTGCCAGCTTCTTCCAGCTGATGCTGTGGCTAAGCCCAAACAAGCCTCACCCACTCTAATTTTGTTTGCACCAGTAGGAGTAATCAGCCCAGCCTGGCTTTTCCCTGATCTAGTCTACATGAGGCGTACAGGTGTTGTAGCCCTGCTTAGTCTGGTCTGCCCCCATCCCAGCCCACGCTCTCCAGTGGGAGTAGCTGTCCAGCAAGGGAACCCACTCATATTCCCCCTGCTGGCTCCGCCCCCTCCCTTGGTTGTTCTCACGCGTGCTGGTTGGGCGCTGCGGTCACATCTGGTACAGGCAACCTCACCTTGGCATTCCGTATTGTGTACTGGTCTTTGTTGCAACCAAGGCCGGCTCGACCCACACTGTTCTGGTGCTTGGATTTGCCAGTGGATGACGTGAACAGATTCAGTCTGGTCTTTCCCCAACCCATGCCAGATGTGTACCCGTGGGTAACTTTCCATGGCCTGTTTTGGGCTGTTTCCTATCATGTTTCTTGCGCTTACCTGCCGGGTCTGTGTCCTGCCAGAGGAGTTGCCCAGGCTCCTCCATCAGAACCTCTTCCAATGCCAGATTTTGCGCTATATACCAGTGGGTCCATGAGCCAGCCCTGCTCAGTTTACCTTCTGTCCTAGCAGGAACAGTGGCTTTTCCTGACTGGCCTTCAACCCAAAACTGGTCCTTGCTGTTGGATGTTTCAGCCCATCCATGGTTCGTCCATACCCACATGTGGCTCACACATGGCTCAGTAGTGGTTGAGACCTTACCTAGTCCATCACACATCTACCCTGGTCCTCCAGGACACCAGAGGGTGTTGGAGTCTGGCCCGGGCTCGGTGCATCCAATCCCAGTCCATATTTGTGCCAAGGGAGACTACAACCATTTCCTGTTCAGAACGCAGCCCCCATTCCAGGCCTCGCTCCCCTTGGTGGGAACCTCAACCCAACTAGGGCTGTCCCCTTAGCTCCCCAGCCGGGCCTGTTCCCCGCAATAGATCACGCACATGCCAGTGGTTGCTCTGACTCAGCTTGGCTCCGCCCCTCACCTGTCCCGACCTCTGCCTGAGACACTGTGGCTTAGCGTTCCTGGCTCACGCAGACCAGTATGTGCAAGAGCCTAGCTCGGCATGACCTGTGCTCCCTCCTGGTCTCTAGTTTTGCTTGTGGGCTAAGGTTTGCTCAGTCCTGTTCGGCCAACCCTGTTCCATTACCAATTGACACATTTGCCAGCTATTGGAGCTACTTTGACCAGCTTGTCTGACCCCCAGGTCTGGACCTCAAGTTCACCTGCGAGAGCTATGACTCGCTAAGGGAGTTTCCCAAGTTCCTCCACTTAATCCACTCCCAGACCCAGTTCTCATACATGCTATTGGGGTTAGGCCAGGTTCCAGCGAAGTCTGCGCTTCCATTTGCATGCCCTTACGTTTTTACAGATTGATATAGTGTAGTACTGAGGGAATTGCTGTAAAAAATGAGACTTTAAAAAATAAATATGAGTGATGCAGAAAGCATTACTAATGAGCCATAAAAATCTGTTGTGCATCTTTGATTAAAGGCTGGAAAAACATGTGTGGATCATCAAGTACCTTACACATTCCAAAAGGCTTATTAAACCTGGAGCACTGTTAGCAGAGTGAGGCTTATTAAACCTGGAGCACTGTAACAGAGTGAGGCTTATTAAACCTGGAGCACTGTAACAGAGTGAGGCTTATTAAACCTGGAGCACTGTAACAGAGTGAGGCTTATTAAACCTGGAGCACTGTAACAGAGTGAGGCTTATTAAACCTGGAGCACTGTTAGTGGAGTGAGGCTTATTAAACCTGGAGCACTGTTAGCAGAGTGAGGCTTATTAAACCTGGAGCACTGTTAGCAGAGTGAGGCTTATTAAACCTGGAGCACTGTTAGCAGAGTGAGGCTTATTAAACCTGGAGCACTGTAACAGAGTGAGGCTTATTAAACCTGGAGCACTGTTAGCAGAGTGAGGCTTATTAAACCTGGAGCACTGTTAACAGAGTGTGACTGTCCTTCTTGTCAACCCAGAGAGCGTCGTGCTTGTCCTTGTGCGTATTGACGTCATTGGTTAATAAACAATAAACACATGAAGGAAAAGGACACGCTCGCTTCTGCAGAAGAACTCCGAACTCCGCAGTGTGGGTATTCCTCTCATCAGCCTGCCGAGCTTGGTTGCTCTGGATGTACATGCTGGCTGCTCCTAGCATATGACTCAGCTTTTAAGACGTGGTTTTAGGAATCTTGATTTTTTTTTTTTTGGTTGTGTTGAATAGATCTTTGCCAAAGCTAGGGATCTTAAAAGATGAGTAGTTGCTCGCCAGCCAGGCAGGGGAAGCGTGCCGTGTATTCTGCATTTAACCCTGGCCGAAAGGCTGCCAAGTGGTGTGCCGTGTACTATAGGCTGAGTGTAGGTACAGTGGAAAGGCCTTGAGGTAGTGAGACATGCTCCTACAGGGGAGGGCTGTAGAGAGCTTTTGGAGAGAGAGATGTAAGCTGTGTTAACACTCCATTGTTATTCTGTGAGATGTGGTTAGAAGCCACAGGACAACTAGATGGAGCTTTCCTCCAAAAACAGTTTGGTTTTTCAGAGATTAGGTGGACCTAGAAGTAAGAGCCGAGAAGCAGCTTAGATTGGAAAACATACAGAACTACAAGTGAGGAGAGCTGCAGGAAGTGCAAGGAAAGAATGTTTGAAAAACAATCGGCAGTGCCGAGTGCCGCGAAATCGGGTCTGGTGCCCGTGGAGTGCCCCTGGAGGAGAATGTGATGCAAGCCTGGTGACAGTGGGTGGAGAAGCGAGGAGGGTGAGTCCACAGTGGCCCTTTCGTGAGACTGCTGTGACGCCAAGGCAGTGGGAGGTGGGGAGCCAGCAGTCCCCACAGGAGCCTGGGCTGCAGGAGGCTGTTGGTGGTGAAGCCCTGGAGAGTGGGGATGGGCTGGGGTGAGGCACCTGGCTAAGTCGGCCCTCCTGAGGAGCCAGGAGGATGGGTGCTGATTTTTTAGGTGGGTGTTGGTGAGCAGGGTGAGGGGCTGCCTCAGCCGATTGTGGAAAGGCCCGTGGCTGATCTAGGGCATGGTTTCATGTCACTTGACTCATGGGCTTTTGTTTTCTTTGAGGAAGAGAAAAATTTTATGCTGAGATTGCTTTTTTTTGAAACAAAATTAGAAACAGAGAGGTCAGGCTTACCTTTGCTGTTTCACTCTCCCGTTGGCCACAGTGGACGAGGCTGGGCCAGTCCAAAACCAGGAGCCAGGAACTTCCTCTGGGTCTCCCACATGGTGCAGGGGCCTAGTCTCTTGAGTCATTGGGCCCATTAGCAGGGAGCTGGAGCAGAAGTGGAACAGCTGGGATTTGAACTGGTGCCCATGTGGAATGCTGGCTCTGTCTTATCCCACTGTACTACAACGCTGAGATTGAATTAAGCAAAATATTGATGTTCTTGAACAGTGTGTTTTGGGCTTGAAATAATCACTGTGCTGAACAAAAAATGGAATAATTTTAAGACATAGTCCTTCTAAATTTAAACTGAACAATTTATTAGGGCTTATTCCAGAAATTCAAGGTTGATTGAATAATAGAAAATTAAATAATGACAGTTCTCCCTGTTAAAATCTAAACTATAAACACTGTACACCACCTTACATGATGCAATAAAAACATTTGACAAAGTCTGACTTCTATTCATGTTGAAAACACAGTGAGGAAAGCTGGACTGGAGGGGGACCTCACCATTCTCATAGAGACAGCTTAACCCTTGGAAGAGCCGGCTGGCATCACGCTCGATGGTGAAAGGCAGAGAGAGGAAGGCTGATGGGTTGGCACTACCAGCTGAAAGCGCCGGTGATCAATACGATATGGTATTGACATGAAGGGGGCAGGGCAACCATGTGACAGAGCAGAAAGACGAAGCAAACCCACCCCTGTGGACACTCTTGATCTGGGGGAGGTACAACGGCAGTGTAGTACAGAGAGGACGGTCTTTTAAGAAGTGCTGCTCTGGGCCTGGCACAATGGCTCAGTTGGCTAATCCTCCCCTTGCAAACACCGGAATCCCATATGGGCACCAGTTGGTGTCCTAGCTGTTCCACTTCTCATCCAACTCCCTGCTTGTGGCTTGGAAAACAGTAAGGAAAGGTCTCCTTGGGACCCTGAAACCCCGTGGGAGACCCCGAGGAAGCTCCTGGCTTCAGCTTGGCTCAGCTCTGGCTCTCGCGACCATGTGGGCAGTCAGCCAGTAGATGTAAGACCTTCTGTCCTTTCTGTCTCCTCTGTGAATCTGCCTTTCCAATAAAAAGCAGTAAATAAATTTTGGAAAGTGTTGTTGGAATAGTTGAATGTTCATATGCAACAACAGAGAGAAACAAAGATCTCCAGCCCATACCTTCAAAAAGAATCAAAAGGAATATGCTAGGACACTGCAAAAGGTGTGTAGAACATGGAATTAAAAGGTAACCTCAGAGAGCGAACGTCTGGCCGGACAGACCTGGGAGGCTGCAGGTAAATACTGCAGTGAGGGGTTCTGGCTGCCTCCGTGGGAAACCTGCGTGGCTTTCTCTGGCTGGCTCCTTAGGCCCTGGTCCGGCTCCAGCCAGCTCTCCTGGGCAGTTAGGAGGTGAACCAGCTGACCCTCTGCTTCTCAGATAAACACAGTACATTTATTTCAGTGCAAAAAAAAAATTGAACTTAATATATATGCTGACTCAAATGTAAAACTGCTATAGGAGACTAAGCAAAAAACTTGGAGTCTAGCTTGGCAAAGTCGTCCAAGCTGTAACAATGTAATCAGAGTTCCTGTATGAACAAATAAACTAGAGGTCAGAGAAAGGCAAAACTCTTCAACAGACAATCCCAAGAGCATTCCTAAGCCAAGATCTGGAAGAATTTTGCCCATCACTTTTGTGATAAAGAGACTTACATATCCAGAGAGTATGTAAGCTCACAAATGAACAAGATTACCCACTCAAAATATCAGAAAAATGTTTTTTAAAGATTTATTTTTATTATTTTTTCATTGGAAAGGCGGATATACAGAGAGGAGAGACAGAGAGGAAGATCTTCCGTCCGATGATTCACTCCCCAAGTGAGCGCAACGGGCCGATACTATGCCGATCCAAAGCCAGGAGCCTCCTCCGGGTCTCCCACGCGAGTGCAGGGTCCCAAATCTTTGGGCCGTCCTCGACTGCTTTCCCGGGCCACAGGCAGGGAGCTGGAAGGGAAGCGGGGCTGCCGGGATTAGAACCGGCGCCCATATGGGATCCCGGGCGTGCAAGGCGAGGACCTTTAACCACTTGCGCCACCGCGCCGGGCCCCCAAGAAAAATGTTTTTAATAACTAGTTCACCAAAGAAGTTGCCATTGTTTTTTTTTTTTTTTTTTTTTGGCCTTTTTGAATTGTTCTCTTATTTCCACTGATGACAGGAAGAGCATGAAGCAATAGTTTATTGGGGAGATGCGCACTGGAGCCAAGTGAGCTGGGGCTCTGCACGCTGACGGGGATGGCTAGAGGCAGACTATTCCAAGTGCTAGTGTGGTGCGGGCGAGCTGAGTGGTCCGAAATGAAAGAACATCTCCAGGAGTCGGTTTCAGCACACACCTGCCTCATGCTGCAGACATTTCCTCTGTAGGTGTTTACCCAAGAGAAAAGGAAACCTGTGTTCCTATGAGAACTGGCACGTGAATGTCCCCCACAGCTTTATTTATGATCGTGAGGACCGAGAGATGTGTCCACTGGCAGTGAGTGAGACCCGCAGTCCGCCTGTCCCAAGAAGGCAGCTCAGCCGTGAACCGGGAGCTTTCGATACTGCCACCTGTGCGTCAGTTACAGGAACTGCGCAGCGAGAAGACAGATGAGAGTGGAGGGCGCAGACTCTGAGAAGTACAAGCCAAGTGACAGCTGAGACTGGGGCTGGGAAAGGATTACCCCGGCCAGGCCTTCCAGCATGGAAAGAACTGGTTACATGTCAGAACATCAGGATGTGAATGTTACATATTTGTTGCTTACTGCTTGTTAATTATGACTCTATCAAGCTGTTCAGTAAGTGGAAAACAAACTTGTTAAGATGCAATGTGGCATAGGAGATTGAAATAACAGTGAGTTAGGAATAATATCTGATATTAGCATGAGTTTATAAACGTAAGTACATATGACTTTAATCTCGAGTGCTTGCCACGTTTTGGTTTATCTCTCTTGATGGTGTGAACGCTGGTCTGCGTTTGAATGTGACGGGAGTGAGTAAGTGACGTCTGCCTTTTCTCTCTCAAGGAGCGACAGTTCGTTCAGGTTCTTCGTGTTCTTCTTCGTCTATATCTGTCAGTTTGCTGTGCATGTGCTCCAGGCTGCAGGATTCCACAACTGGGGCAACTGGTAAGTTGCTTACCTTTCCTACATTAAGCTGCTGGCCTGGTATATCTTCATGTAATTTTTGGCTTCTTAAAGTAGTTAATACAGAAAAGTCAAATTACCAAATGTAAGCAGAAACAAAAATGGTGAAAAAAATAAGCAATTGAAAATTGTTCTGAGGCAGAGCAGATCATTCTGTTTGCAGAGCATGGTCCCATTTGGAAAGCGGTTCTAAGTAAACTGTGACTGTGCACCCGGAAGGGGCTGAGGAGTGATGAGTGGAGAGGGCCGAGAATTATCAGAAAAGAAAGTGAAGGCTTTTAAGACACAGTGTCCCTATTAGACATGAACTATTTTAGGTAGACAAACACATGTGCAGTTTGTACACACATGCGCGGCGCTTGTCTGCGAGTTAGACTCATTGCGTAGACATGCATACACGCACACTGCACCTTCCACACCGAGCACTGCCCGCTCGGTGCAGCTGCCCCGACGTTGGAATGGTCTGGACGCAGGCTGCGTCCTCCACACTGGAGCCAACATGTTCTCAGTGGAATGGTGGTTGGAAGAATGGGTGTCCCCCTAAACGACTGGGCTTCCCGTCTTTCCCACGTCGCATGCAGTTGAAATCTTTTTGCAGGGAATGTCGCCCATGTCCGTAAGTAGCGTGTCCCTGGAAGGTGTGAGGACCGAGAGCCCGCGGAGGTGACTCGGAGCCGTGGTCGCGGGGGGCTCCTGACAGGCATTGATCTGCTCAGGCACTGGCTTTGAGAAAAGTGGCTTTCACTCTTAATTCAAAGTGTTTTTAGTCTTTGGCACATTAGGGATCGGAAATGCTTGATTAAAAAATATGCTGCTTACTTTAAAAGCACAAGATCTTTTGTTCCTGTGAGTGTGAAGTACTTTACTTTTTTTTAAAACACTTTTTAGCAGAGACTTATAGGAAGATGTTGGGGCTGAGGACTGATTAGGCCAGCCAGGTCTGTGAGTGCAGTGTGGTCCAGATTGACCTCCTGTCATTGAGATGTTTCTAGAGTGTATCTTGAGGAAATGATAGATTCATGTGCGATTGTAAGAACCCATAGATCTCTACCCAGTTTGCTCCTTGACAAAGTCTTGCTCAAGTGTAGTGAGACATACCAGGATCTTGATGTTGGTGCAGCTAAGAGCATTCTCCTAGCACCAAAGGGTTCTTCATGTGGCCTTTTGCAGCCACACTCAGTAGCTCCCTCTCCTCTACTGCTGCACAGCCCATGGCCTCCACTAACCTGTCTAACGGTTCCGTTGTTGTGTCATTTGGAGGAACTTTTGTGGATGCAGTGGTACCAGGGGCAGCCTCTGGTGTGGCTCACCTCACCTGGTTCTCTTGGAGATGTGTGTGTCCCCAGTTTGCTCCCCTCTGTCCCTCAGCAGTGGCCCCTGGTGTGTTGTCTCACAGTGTATTTTAGCCCTGTGTGCTTGAGGGGTGTCCAGTTGTCTGCCGTCTGGAGCTGGGAGGATAGAGTGGCCATGAGCGTTTGTGACCAGGTTACCTCCTGAGCGGAAGTTTTCGCCTCTGGGATAAATTCCCAAGAGTGATTGTTGAGTCATAGAGAAGTTGTGTGTAGTGTATTTTGATAAACTGATGAACTTCTAGAAGGGCCATCCTGGTTTACATGCTGATGTACCCTCGACGTCCCCACTTGGTGTCTGGGGCTGTCAGTGTTTGTCACCGTGGCCCTTCTGCCGAGCGTGTTAGTGCCCGCCCCTGCCTCCCTTGCAGTTGCTGTGCTGTGCGTCTGTCTGGAGCCTCTGGGTTGTTGGGAAGCGTCACTTCAGGACATTTGCCCATCTAAACACTTGTGCATGTTGTTTGACTACTCTGATGCGGTTCTTGTGGTGGATGTATGATTTGCAAGTGTCTTATTCTGCACTTGGGGAGAAAGGGCACAGTGCTGAGCTCACAGGATTACCGAGTGCAGTGACCTGGGGGTAACTGGGGCTCAGGCAATGAGGCTGTGCATTTGCAGGCTGGATGGCTTTGGACTGGTCAGCGTGCCCGGGACACTGTGCTCTGTCCGCCAGGGGAGTCCCAGCAGTGTGATGCCCAGCATGCATACAGACGCGCGCAGGGTGCTGTTCCTGGCGCGGGCCTGCACTGACCGACCTCTCGCTCTGCAGCGGCTGGATCTCCTCGCTCACGGGGCTCAACAGGAGCATTCCTGTCGGCATCATGATGATCGTCATCGCGGCGCTCTTCACGGCCTCGGCGGTCATCTCCCTGGTCATGTTCAAGAAGGTGAGTGAGGTGCTGGCCCTGGCAGCTCTTGGCAGAGTCCCACATACGTTCTTGCCTCAGGCCGCTCCCGTTGCTCTAGGAGGCTGGCTTTTCATAATTAAAACTCCCCCAGAGTTGTATTACCTACTAATGTAACATATTTCCTATGAAAGGGAGTATTTTAGCCTTGGTAACTGAAGACTTCTTTTGTCTATTGAAGAATCAGCCTCATTTTAAAAATTTGGATTAAAGGGTTCCAGCTGGATTAACAAGAAGCAAAGCTGTTGTGTAGAGTGTGTATTTTATCCATATTTAAAATTTAAAAACACTAAATTATTTATGTCAGAGTATAAAATGAACTGCTGACAAGTTTGGGCTGCATGTGACAGGAATTTTGTTTTTAGTGACTTTCCAGTTATTTGAGCTGTACTACTTTCTGTAGAATTTCCATGTCTGTCTGCATAAACTTTTGAAAGGAATCATTAAATAGTGTGGGTAATAAATGCTTTAATTTATTTGATTGACTTTTTTGCACTAAAAATGGTTTTGGTATTCAGACGTGATTCAGAGACCCTGTGGATAACAGTTTTATTTTGAAGCATATTGACTTTTTGATGAATCTCACTTCTGAGTTCTTCCAGCATTGCATGAAGTCAAGTTCTCACAGCCTTTCATAGTTTTACTATCTGGTAACTTGAAAAACTGGTGTTTATAAGTAATGTGTAGAAATAATTACATTGTGCATTTCAGGCCACCAGTTATTCCTAAAGTTATTGTATATTTGTTTTGGAGCCTTCTGAAACCATATGAGAGAAATAAGCAGGCAGGGAACAGACATTTAGCCTGACAGTTAACCCCCCACCCCATTGATCAGCACTAACCGTGCCCACCTCGGCCAGCTCAACACTAACCGTGCCCACCTCGACCAGCTCAGCACTAACCGTGCCCACCTAGACGACCAGCTCAGCACTAACCGTGCCCACCTCGACCAGCTCAGCACTAACCGTGCCCACCTCGACCAGCTCAGCACTAACCGTGCCCACCTAGACGACCAGCTCAGCACTAACCGTGCCCACCTCGACCAGCTCAGCACTAACCGTGCCCACCTAGACGAACTCAGCACTAACCGTGCCCACCTAGACGACCAGCTTCCTGAAGTCCCAGATCCCTTGGGACCTGAGTCCTCTGCCTCCCTGGCAGTCCCTTCTTGTCTCTTGTGTCTTCACCCTCGAAACTCTGTATCTCCTGCTTTCTTCCCCCCACCCTTTTTTTTTTAAAGATTTATTTTTTTCTTTATTGGAAAGTCAGATATACAGAGAAGAGGAAAGACAGAGAAATATGTTACATTTGTTGATTCACTCCCCAAGTGGCTACAATGGCTGCAGCTGAGGCAGTCCGAAGCCAGGAGCCTGGAGCCTCTTCTGGGTCTCCCACACAGGTGCAGGGTCCTAAGGCTTTGGGCTGTTTTGACTGCCTTCCCAGGCCACAAGCAGGGAGCTGGAAGGGAAGTGGAGCAGCCGGGATATGAACCGGTGCCGGTGTAGAATCCCAGTGTTTGCAAGGTGAAGATTTAGCCACCAGGCCACGGTGCCGGGCCCTCTTCCCTGTTTATGCAGCATGTAAGTGAAAATGTCTGGCTCTGACAGCACTCTGCTGTTTGTGCCGTGCTGCCTGTCTCAGGATTCAAGTATCTGCTCGCTCTGGGTGACCTGAGCAATGCCTTGCCTAACCCCACAGGGCAGTTGGTTGGTGTTGGACCTCTGTCCTGTGGCTGGGACTCTGCTTCTGAACTCTCCTTCCAGATGTTCTTATTCAGGACACACTGAGACCACGTGTTATGGTATACTGTTCCTGTGACATGCCCCACATAGACACATGACAGAGACAGGAAATAGGTTAGCGCCTGCCTGGGGTGGGTGGGGAGCGGCTGCGCATGCTCATGGAGTTCCTGGGGTGATCAGTGCTCTCCCGGCGGGCCGTGGAGATGTGATCACACGTCTGCAGAGAGCAGAACTCTTGAAGGGGGAAGTTGTCTGCAAAGCTGGTGTTTATTTGAAAAGCAGTGTGATGGAGAACAGAGAGGGAGAGGTGCTCCCTGTGCTGATTGTCACCCACATGGCCGCAGTGGCCACGGCTGGGCGAGGCTGAGGCCGGGAGCCTGAGAGTGCATCCCTGTGTCTTGCCTAGGTGGCAGAGGCCCAAGCCCTGGGACCGGCTTCTGCTTTTCTAGGCACATTCGCAGGAAAGGCAGCAGAGCAGCCAGGCAGGACTTGAATTCAATGCTGGCATTGTAAGCGGAGCCTTAGCCCACCATGCGGACCCCACAGCAACACTGTTCATAGCGCCTGTGTAAGCAAGTTCAGTGCGCTTGTGCTGTGTGTCCTTGTAGCTGGCCGTGTGTGGGGAGTGGAAGGGCTGAGGAGGTGAGGGCTGGCCGTGTGTGGGGAGTGGAAGGGCTGAGGAGGTGAGGGCTGGCATGTGTGTGGTTTGAAGGGCTGAGGAGGTGAGGGCTGGCCGTGTGTGGGGAGTGGAAGGGCTGAGGAGGTGAGGGCTGGCCGTGTGTGTGGTTTGAAGACCTGAGGTGGTGAGGGCTGGCCATGTGTGTGGTTTGAAGGGCTGAGGTGGTGAGGGCTGGCCCTGTGTGTGGAGGAGAAGGGCTGAGGAGGTGAGGGCCGGCTGTGTGTGTGGTTTGAAGGGCTGAGGAGGTGAGGGCCGGCCGTGTGTGTGGTTTGAAGGGCTGAGGAGGTGAGGGCTGGCTGTGTGTGTGGAGGAGAAGGGCTGAGGAGGTGAGGGCTGGCCATGTGTGGGGAGATTGAAGGGCTGAGGAGGTGAGGGTTGGCCCTGTGTGTGGAGGAGAAGGACTGAGGAGGTGAGGGCTGGCCGTGTGTGTGGAGGGGACGGGCTGAGGAGGTGAGGGCTGGCCGTGTGTGATTCGAAGGGCTGATTTTACAAGTGCAGTGTTGAGGCCTGGGCTCTGGTGGCCTCAGCACAGGGGCCAGGGCTGCAGGAGCCCTCTGTGTGTGCTTGGGATACCTGTGAAGGAACAGTTGCAGAGCAGAGCTGTTCCCGGCAGAGTCGGGGTCTGGGATGAGCAGCATACTTGCATTGAGCCAGTGTGCGCTCCACGTGCTGGCTGGCAAGTCCCCGAACTGCCCTGGGTCTCATGTTCTTTACTTACGAAGGACTTCAGGGGAGATACTGTTCTGTGTGATTTCATGATGTACAATTAATGAGCACATTAAATCCTGGAATATCATTTGGACCAGTTTTGATGTTTGATACAAATTGTGGTCCAGTGAGGAACTGATTTTTTGTTTGCTTTTACGCTCTTGCTCGGAAGGACTGAGAGCAGCTAAGATCTTGGGAGAGAGTGCAGCCACGGTGTATATCCACTAGAGGGCAGCTGGCTCACGCGGTGCTGCGTCCAGGCCTGCCTGGTGCCTGGCCAGGTGGGCTCCGTGCGTGCGTTTATTCTGATCAGGTTCAGCTCTGGGACTTGTGTCATTGGAATGCACAGCCAGTACCGTGTGCAGCGCCAGTGAGCGCGGCCGTGTCTACTCCCCACACAGCTGTCCATCACCCGAAACCCAGACGCTAAACGAACCTATGTCTCCTGCACATCCTTACAGACAAAGCAGCTCAGTCTGTCTTTCACAGACATTTTCTTAGATTATTTCTATATGGAATTTTCTAAAAGGTTCTCTTTTAAATTTTTGAGAGGCAAGTGTGTGTGTGTGTGAAAGAGAGAGAGAGTGAGTGAGTGAGTCTGTTCTGGTCCACTCCTCACAGGCCTACATGGGAGCCGGGACGCAGCCTGTGTTTGCCTCTGGGCCAGCCTGGCAGGAAGCCACAGTTGGGTATTGAGCATCGTGCCAGTAGGCCTGCACCTGCTCCCGATGGTTTCTTTCTATTGTAAATTGGTAAATGTGGGTCGCAGTTTTGAACAGAGGGCCGAGTGACAGTGAGTGAAGGAGCTGCATGGTTCTGCCGACTTTGGTCACCATAGAAATGACCATGGGTCGGGCCCTGTGCAATAGCATAGTGGCTAGAGTCCTCTCCTTGATCGCGCCGGGATCCCACATAGCCGCCGGTTCTAATCCCGGCGGCCCGCTTCCCATCCAGCTCCCTGCTTGTGGCCTGGGAAATCGGTCAAGGACGGCCCAAAGCCTTGGGACCCTGCACCCATGTGGGAGACCCAGAAGAGACTCCTGGCTCCTGATTGGCGCAGCACCAGCTGTTGCGATCACTTGGGGAGTGAATCATAGGATGGGAAGATCTTCCTCTCTCTCTCTCTCTCTCTCTCTCTCTTCTCTCTCTGTGTGTCTGCCTTTCCAATAAAAATAAATCTTTACAACAATAATAATAATAAAAAAGAAATGACCCCATGGGTGAAGCTGAGCAGCCTGTCCGGGAACCCTGGCTTTGATAATCCTTGCTGAAATTTTTGTTCAGATTTTCATGTCTTTTTAAATGAAAACTGTTAGTTTTTTGTGTTTCCGAAGAATTTTAGAAAAGAGATTATTTCCCTGCTTTAAAAAACAAATTTTGCTAGTTGATTTAAATTTACACCAGTGTTGTTCTGCGAGTCCTTTTAGTTTGTGTGGATGTAGAATTGTGCTACAATGCAGAACAGGACAGCTTGTCATCCATTAGTTAATTTGCTGTTTTCCTGTAAATGTTCTGTGTATAAAGTGGTGATCACTCAGGGGTTTTTTTCTCAAGTTTTTTTTTTTTTTAAATTAGAAAGGCAGATGAGATTTGTGGAGACAAGGAGAGACAGACGGATCTTCCATCCGCTGGCTCACTCCCCAAATGAGTGCAGTAGCCGGGCTGAGCCGATCCAAAGCCAGCCGGGCTGAGCCGATCCAAAGCCAGCCGGGAGCTTCTGCCAGGTCTCCTAGTTGTGTGCAGGGGCCAAGCACTTGGGCCATCTTCTGCTTTGCTAGGCACATCAGCAGGAAGCTGGATTGTAAGTGTGACAGCTAGGATTTGAACTGATGCCTCCATATGGGATGCTGATCCTGTACCTGGAGGCTTAATCCACTGTGCCACAGTGCTGGCCCCAGGATCCACTTTCTAATAGTAATAATAAACTAAAAAGTAAATGTAAAACTCACTTGGTTGTATTTTATAAAAGTTAGTAACTGGTATGACAGATCTTGTATTAGTATTAATGAAGGTGCAATGCTTGGGGTTTTTTGAATGAAGCACCCCAGGTCTTTGCTTTCCCAGCCTGGGCTCTCCCGGGGTTCTACGCCACCAGCATGTACTGTTTGGGAATGCAGTTCTGGAGGCAGGACTCCCTTCATTTGCATTAGTGTCATCCGTTCACATTCTGACGTGTGTCTGGGAAGTTCTGAGCATGTGGGCAGCAGGCAATCGTGCTTGAATGGCAGCCCAGCAGGTGGAGGGTCGAGGAATGGGTCCGTTCCAAGGTCAGTGTTCTTCAGTGATGCTCCGAGAACTCTGAATAACGAGGTCATTTATATTTTATTTGAAGGGCACAGGTTTTGGAGAGAGAGAGAGGAAGAGCTTCCATCTCCTGGTTCACTCCCCAAACAGCCACAGCGGCCAGAACTGAGCTGATCTGAAGCCAGGAGGCAGAAGCTTCTTCCAGGTCTCCCATGGGGGTGCAGGGTCCCAGCTTGGGCTGTCCTCTGCTGCTTTCCCAAGCCATAAGCAGGGAGTGAGATCAGAAGCAGAAGAGGTGGGACACAAACTGGCACCCACATGGGATGCCGACGCCGTGGGGCGGATTAATAAGTTGTGCCGCCATGCCAACCCAGAACACACTCTCTCTCTTAAAGATTTATTTATTTTTATTGGAGAGCCAGAGAGAGAAGGTTTTCTATCCACTGGTTCACTCCCCAAATGGTCACAACAGTCACCAAAGCTGAGCTGATCTGATACCAGGAGCCTGGAGCCTCCTCTGGGCTTCCCATGTGGCTGGAGGGCCCCAAGGACACAGGCCGTCCTCCACTGCTTTCCCAGGCCACAAGCAGGGAGCTGGATGGGAAGTGGAGCAGCTGAGGTTAGAACTGGCGCCCATATGGGATGCCCCTGCCACAGGGTGGTGGATTAGTTTGTTGATCCACAGTGCCAGACTCCAGATTCATATCTCATTCCCATTCTCTTTCTCAGAATGCTGAGTCCATTTGAGGGGGTTTCCCTCTCACGAGCTGATCCTCTTCAAAACACCCTGACTTCCCACGTCCCATGCGGGGGTCACAACTTCAGCCGAGGGACGCAGCGGGGGACGTGGCGCATGCCTGTGCTGCTGGCTTCTGAGTCTCATTTTCAGTCCGTTTCTCTGCTGAGCTCCCAGCCAGATCTCCGTCTGCCTGCTCAGGGCACAGTTGGAAGGGGGATGTTCAGTCTTACCGTTCCTTCTGGTCTCCATCTTTTTGAAATGGTTTCCCCACATCAGGCCTGGCTTTGGGGTCCCTAGTCTGTTGTGCTGAGTTTCACTGCACAGTCACTCAAGAGTTGGTGCTTCCTGCCTGGGTTTGGGGGCAGAAGTTCAAGAAAAGGGACTGGCCTGGGTGTGCTGGACGCTCTGTAAAGCCTGCTTTGATTGGCATTAGGTCCATCATAGTGCTGTGTGATTGCGTTTCCTCAACCCAGAGTTGGTGGACATGGAAGGAAATATTTGTTTTTACTTAAACCTGTGCCAAACTGAATGACTCATGTGTTGCTGTGCTTTGTAGTTAATCTGTGCAGCTTCCAGCATGCTGCTAGCATGAGTTGGAGCCCTACTCATGTCGGCAATCCAAGATCCGAATGTTCAGGAAGGACAGACAGTTCCCAGGAGGGTTTCTTGCCTACCCGCTAGTGTGAGGCCACACACCGAGCTAGCCTGCGCACCGAGCCATAGCGGCAGCATGTTCAAGGTTCAGTAAGTGGCAAAATGCTAGCATCTGGCTATGCTCGGGTTAGTGGTACACATTCAGCCAGTGTCGACATGCATTAACTGTCCTTTCCTTTGAATTGTCAAGTACAGTAAATTAAAATTAGTGTCGTCTTAAGGGTAAACCATCCTGTTTTAATGCTGTAATATTTTCATTAGCTGGTGAGGTCTAGACAAAGTACAGTTTTGCAATTAGCTGATAAGTTTTTCTCTAGGGGTTTGTGTTACGGCACTGCACGTCAAGCTGCCTGTGCCTTCTAGTCTCCCGCTAGTGGCCTGGGAAAGCGATGGGATGTGGCCCAAGACTTGGGGACCCTTCGCTCAAGTGGGAGGCCCAGAGGGAGCTCCAGGCCCCTGGTTGAGCTGGGCAGAAGCCTGGTTGTTGCAGCTGTTTGAAGAGGGAACGTGTGGGTGGAAGGTCTCTCCCTGTCTCCTTGCCTTCCTCCTGATACTCTGCCTTTCAAACTATTTTTTTTTTTAAAGTTTCTCTATAAATTATTTTTGGCTTGAATTGATGCAGTTATCTCTTCTGCTCGGGTGGAAAAGGCTAATGCCGAACACTGCGCGCCGAGGGGGTGGCTGACGCCCTGCGCCTTGGGAGCCGTGACCAGAGTTGAGTCCTGGGAAAGTTACCAGGGAGCTGCTGGACGCTGACCGCCTGTTGCTGTGTCCCTGCAGGTACACGGACTGTATCGCACAACAGGTGCTAGTTTTGAGAAGGCCCAACAAGAGTTTGCAACAGGTGTGATGTCCAACAAGACCGTGCAGACCGCGGCCGCCAACGCAGCCTCCAGCGCCGCACAGAGCGCGTTCAAGGGCAACCCCATGTAGAAGCCTTCCAGCAACACACCTCTACCTTCTGACTGTACTTCTCCAGTTACTGTATTCCACAAATACTTTTATGTTCACGACACACAGTATACACAGCATGGATATTTCCTGTTCACCTGTGCATGGGCTAAAACCCGAAAAACCTCCTTGTTTTACTACTTTACCTGGTAGCTTCTTAAAACCTCAGTGCCCCTTGCAGAAAAAAAAAAAATTTACATGCTAAATAAATAAATATTCTCCATGTTTTTTGGGGGATGATGTTCAGCAAATTATTTCAGTGGTGACACACTGAAATGAATATGGTCCTAATAATTACAGCTGCATTTGGCACACTGCACTGGCGCCTCCGAGGTCGGGAGAGGCCGAGGCGAGCCGCAGCGGTGCCGTGTCGAGCCGCTCTCCCCACGTGCAGCGGGGGGACTGGCTTGTGTTCGCAGTCACGGTCAGCAGTGAAGGGCCCGTGCACTGCGTCACAGATAATGTAAATTCTGACCTTCTTAACCTTTGCTTTTTCTTTTTTGAGTAGTTGATATTTTGATAACAACCCTTAGTCTTGCATGGGCGCCATGTTTATTGAATTATAAGAATTCGTATTTTGAGTTCTGTACTGTTTACGGTTGTGGGGTTCAGGGATTCTTTATGGAATCACAGACATGATTTTCTGTAATAGTTTCTTTTCAGTACACATTTATTGGGGTGCAATATGAAAATTTAATATAATATGCGATGCATTATCCAGAGGAGAAGATGACTGATACAACAGAATGTAGTGATAATGGCTCTTTATTTATGTTTTCCGTAATTTTCAGTATTCATACAGTAAAATGCTACTCTATGGAATCTGTGGTATGGTCTTGTGACTATCCTTTGGTTCAACTGGAATTGTGTTGTAACAGAGGAATTAAAGGCCAGTCTAACCTTTGTCTAAGACAACACAGTATTTAAGGAATTTTTCTTGTAGCCTGTTATTTCTCAGTGGCATTCAATATAAAGAGACCCCAGTGTTTCTCCTGTAGTTGAATCCCCAGTACACTGAGGTCCTCCTTGAGACAGTGAACCCATTTATGATCTCGAGCAGTAGAGGTGAAGCCTTCAACTTGTGCAAATTCAGTTAACGGTTTTAATTAGGAAGACAGAAGCATGAGGATCCCACAGAACTTCACCCTCACGGTATGCTTGGGGCCCGGCCCGGCATCCTGCTCAGATACCGACTGGATGCTTCAAAGCCCAGGTCATGTCGCTGAGTTTCAGATGTCTTCAGCTGCAGACCGCAGCGCGATGGGCAGTGGCTTGTCTGGATTTGGAGTAAGGAGAGTCTTGGGGCATACTGAGGCCTTGATGCTGTTTTAAGGAATCAGTTGGACGTATGTGGCCGGCTCGATCCCTGCGGGGAGGACCGGTGCTGACTGTGCGGGGGTGTGGGGGTTGGTTCTGCCCCACGTGGGCCAGGCTTTGTTAGTGACCAAGGCAGAGACTTCTGTTCTGAAGCAAATGGGGCTCAGCAAGTTTAAAGCTGATTTATGAATGCTTCTGTCTGTGGTGGTCTGCGCCTACATTCTCACCCTTTCTTTGTTGTGCTAGGCCGGGTACAGCTTCATGGCGTGCCCGGCCAGAAGGTGTGGCAGCACACACACCCACCAACAGCTCACGTCCCAGACCTGGTTTTGTTTTTCTGTAAGCAACTAGAGAAGGATGTAGGAGAGACTTTTGAAGTAGAATGTTTTCATTTTTTAATTATGTAGACATATCCAAGGGTAGCGTTACTTAATAGTGAAGAATCATTACCATGGCTAACATTTTTATGTAGTTGGGGATGTGTTGTTAAAGTTGTGTGCGTTACTAGAAGTTTGAGAGAGCAAATTATGTGTTTATTTTTTTTAGAATGTCAGTGTGCATTAAAAAGATGGCAGTGGTTGCAGTTGGATCAGGTGTAAATGCAGCTTTAAATTCTTAGATGAACTGTCCGCACTGGTCGCTGTTCCTGCAGTGACAGACTGGCACCGTCTGTGCTGTGCGTTGGGCAAAGGGCCCGGCTGCGCTGTGCTCCAGTGGTGTGTGCACGAAGCACCCAGGCGGGCTTCGGTTTGCTGCGTGAGATCATGGCTACTTCACTGACCTGTCAGCTGATCTGTGAACACTGGAAAGTCATTGCTCAGTGATCTGTAATCTGGGTCTGGGTTATCTCTCTAGGATGTCTGTGTATTTTGTCGGTAACACTGCACTGCCGTCATGGCAACTGTCACATTTCTATATGGATGCCCTTCATCTGTCCCTCCACTGTTGCATGTGGTCAGTGATTTGGAAGTTTTGTATATTTATTGTATTCACAGAGTGTCATCAAATAAAATGCTGTTTCCTGGGTGTGTGTCTGTGATTTAAAGACTATATTCAGAGCGACACTAGGTGTGATTCAGAGGCAGAGGTTATGCTGATGGCTTGCCATCCAGAACAGCTTTACATTTAACTTTAAAAACACAATCTCTGTATAATTCTGTCCTGTGTAAACAAAGAAATGTGAAAATGAAGTTTAAAACTCAGTAACGCAGGATAAGTTCTGTTGCATTGGAGCTTTCTAAGCAGCAGGATGGGGCTTCGCTCATCGTTTTGACCATTGTAAGCTAAAACTAAAGATTATTTTGAAGTTATATTAGAAACAGGAAGCCGTCTCATGGCTCAGATTCCTCTCTTGTGTGTTGGAAAGGGCTCCTGTGGTCCTGGCGTCCTGTCGATTGAGTGGAACCTGTGTTCTTTCTCCTAACTGCCGCCCATCGCCGTGGAGATACTGATTAAAGTCCAATCGGTAGTGTTGAGCTTTAGAGCTGGCCAGCTAAAGAAGTTGTCAAAAAAAATGTGATCTCAGATAATAGTCATCATGTGTCTTATTTTAAAAAATACTTGTTATATTAAAAATATAATGGTATTTGTTTTCCCCGAGTGCTGTCTAGAAAAAGTGAATTGGGACTCTCCTACCTAATTCATTTATGATAATGTTTGATTTACATCTTAAGAGGATTTCTGTTTCTGTCGTCATTTGTAACAGCCTAAAGCTTTTCTGTTCATTATTATATATTCTGGAAATATTAGTGTTAACAGCTGGTTCTCTATATTGACAAAAGCTGCATTTTGCACAATTATAGTAGAGTTTGTTAAGTTTTGGGCATTTTTTTTTCATAAGATGTGCAGCTTAACATTACCACGAATGTTGTAACACCCTTTCCTTATATCTCCTTTCATTCTTTTCCTTAAGGAAAATGTTTAGAGGAGTTTCTTAGTTCACATGTCTACATCCCGTGGAGGCAAAATTATAGCGGTTAATTTAATCACAGTTGAAAGTGTTTTAAAATAGAAAACCACTTTCTTTAGTAGATTTTTCAAATAACATGGTATAAATTTATTTAGAGTAGAATATATTGTAGTAGAATAATATATTTGAAAATATTTGGGTTGTCTTTAATACTTTATAATTGAACTGCGAAGTTGTATCCCAATGGGCTAAATATTATGGAATGTGAAATATCCACACTAGAATTTAGAGCATGTTTTATAAAACAGCATGCTTAGTACATTGGTGAATTTTTAATAATTTTTCATTAATTGAAAGTATGAACTAGAGGGAGAGAAAATGAAGACGCAGGAGAGTGCGCCTGGTTTTCCGGCTCATTCTCCAGAGTCCGCGGTGGCTGGAGTTCGGCCAGCCGGAAGCTGCAAGCTGGGCCCTTCCCTGGCTCTGCCATGTGGGAGGTGGGGACCTCAGCAGGCCAGCCCCCCAGCTGCCTCCCAGTCACATGTCCCGCAGGAAGTGGGGTCTGCAGTCGGGCTGAGGTGGATGGAGGACTACGTGTAAGTTTTATCTGAGTGCTTTATTGCCACGTGTGCAGCACCGGGATGACATCTGTGGGTGCAGGCAGGAGGCCTTGTCTGCCCAGCCCTCCGTCCGTGCCGATTGTGTGTGTTCACTGAAGGTTGTGTTATCAGAGAGACAAAGCCTGTTCATGTTTTCCGATGGGAGGAGAACATGGGAGTGGCCTTATCAGAGTGCCGTGCTGTGCTTTGTGTTCATCCAAAGGCAGGTCCCACTGTCCTGCTCTCCCCTCCTGGAAGGACACGCTGGTAAGGCTGATGCTCGGACACCAGGACCCAGTTACTCTTACCTTACAGGCGGCTGCTCTCCTGCCCCCTGAGTTCAGGTCTGCACCGGGAGGATTCTCACTGGTCCAATCACACCAGGCAAGTAGTACTTCCTAACTCTTGAGTTGTTACAATGTCTAAGTAAGTAGAAACATTAGAATTCCTTCTCTTGGTTTTTAGAATAATTTTTGAGTATAGCAGTTGCTGTTGACATGTGTTTGGGGCTGGTGTGTGTGGCTGGGGGTGGATTCTTCCCTGGTTTCTTGGAGCTTCTCGAAGTATTCTAGTTTCTTTACCCAGGAACTGAGCTCCCTGGGCATACACAGCCCTCAGGGTTGTTCTCTAGAGTGAAAGCGATAGTTACCTACTGTGGCATTGTATCTTAATGATCTGATAGTTTGGGAAAAAAAAATTTTTTTAAGATTTATTTATTTTTATTGGAAAGTCAACTATATAGAGAGGAGGAGAGACAGAGAGGAAGATCTTCCCTCTGCTGATTTACTCCCCAAGTGGCCTCGAAGGCCAGAACTGAGCCAATTAGAAGCCAGGAGCCAGGACCTTCCTCCAGGTCCCTCACGTGGGCGCAGGGTTCCAAGGCTTTGGGCTGTCCTCAACTGCTTCCCAGGCCACAAGGGCCAGAAGCAGGGAGCTAGATAGGAAGTGGGGCCACTGGGATATAAACTGGTGCCCATATAGGATCCTGGCACATAAAAGGTGAGGACTTCAGCCACTAGGCTACTGCACTAGGCCCTATTTATTTATTTGAAATGCAGAGTGACACACAGATTTCAGTCTGCTGGTTCACTCCCCAAATGGCTACAGTGCCTAGAGCCTGCACCCATCTTGTCACCCATCCAACGCCCATCACTTGCTTCCAGAGCCTTCTTGGCTTCTGGTACTTTCCACTGGAGAATTTAAGTTAACAAAGCAGTTTGTTTTTCTCCGCTTATGACCTGTGTATGGAGCTTCTTATTGCTGGATGTACTTGTCCGATACTTGCCAGCTTTGTTCAAGTTTCTGTCGTTACACATCATTTGCCAAGGGATCTGTGGGTGAACTCTAGGCCTGGCCTTTGCTTGGTTCCTCAGGACAAGGGGGTGTGGTCCCAGGGGACCGCGGATATGGCTGCCAGGTGCTTGGGCTGTCCAGGAAGATGGCACCCTGGCGTCTCCCCCAGCCCTGTGGAAGGACTGCCACCTCACGTGACCAGTCCGTGTTCCTGTCCAGGGACATCTTACGCCAGGAGGTGAGTTTTCTGAGGACTGAGGGTTCTCGTTTCTTGGGGACTCACCTAACAAGATCTGTTCGTTTTGTTTCTGCTAGATGAGCCCGTGCGTCTGCCGCCCTCACAGGGCTCTGTCCACAGGAATGAGGACGCAGCGTCTGCTGTGATGGGACAGACGTGCTGGCACAGGGAGCCGTCCATTGCGTCTCCTGCTGGAGTCAGGCTGGTTTGCACAGGTTACGCCACCCACACAGAATGAGACTTCTGAAAGCAGCTCTTCCGCGGCACCCCGAGAATTCTAACTATAGTAACAGCTTTTACTGAGTACTTGGCACACTGGAGGTGGCACCACGTGCTTTCCGTACAGCATGCCAACTTGCCGGTGTCCTTTCTGTGACTGACCGTGGGGTTCCTCAGTGCATGCTGGTGGTGCTGAAGGAGCGTCTGAGACAGACCCCATGACTGTACCACTGCCCTGCCTTCCCACGTTCCCTTCCGTCCACCTGCACTCCCAGTGAGTCGTGTCCATCCTCTAGGAAGACGAACAGGACACCCACAGCCAGGGAGCAGTTACAGTGTGTGCCAGGCTTGACTGCCCTCTCCAGGTAAGGACCTGCCCCCTCCCCCTCCGCAGTGGTCACTCCCTTGGTGTCACTGGCATTTGTGTGTGTGTGTGTGTGTGTGCGCGCACACATCTGTGTGTATAGGGAACTTAAGGCGCAGATGTTAAATATGCAAGATAAAGCTGGGGCGAGCTGGTGACATCATAGGCTAATTCTTTGCCTGCCAGTGCCAGCATCCCCATAGGCACTGGTTCATATCCTGGTGTTCCACCTCTGATCCAGTGCTGTGCTTATGACCTGGGGAAGCAGCAGAGGAAGTGCTTGGGTCCTGGCACCCATGTGGAGACCTGGAAGAAGCTCCTGGTTCCTGGTTCCAGATCAGCTCAGCTCTGGCCTTTGTGGCCATTTGGGCAGTGAGCCAGCAGATGGCGGCAGATCTCTCATTCCCTTGTCTCTCTGAAACTCTTTTCAAGAAAAAAAAAAAAAAAAATATATATATATATATATATATATATTTAATTACACAGAGGGAGAGACAGGAAGAGACCTTCCTTCTGCTGGTCATTCCCTCATGGCCAGAGTTGGCCAAGCGGAAGCCAGGGGCATGAAGCTCCATCCAGGTCTCCGACGCCCCAGGCCTGCCCCTGGCCGGCTGGTCATCTTCTGCTTTGAGAGAAGAGACTGTCTTTCAGTGAATGTTTTCTCCCTTATATGAGTAGTGCTTAGGAGGTTTATTTTTTTGTTTTGTTTTTACGCTTTACAATTCTATTACTGTTTTTCTCAGGAAGAAATACACTCACTCAGATGTTACGGATAACCTTGGGTGGAGCTGTATGTATGTAGCAGGGTAGTTGGGAATATAGGGTAGTCCTGAATATCTATCAAATACTCCTGTCCTACTGAAGCCATGAGACTCAGGCTTGAGAGGGATTTTTGCCAGACTTTGTTTAATTCAGATTGGGGGAGGGGGGAACACATTGAAAATACGTGTACACAGCAAGCTGGTCAATGCTAGACAAACAATGTATTAGTTTACAATGTAATAGGAAAACCACAAACGTGAAGGCTCAAGCCGAGTCCGTCAGCTGCAAATGCACTTTACCATTTGGCTCAAGTGGTGCCGTGTGCCCGCAGAGCACCTCACAACCCCCCGGCCTTGGCAGGAGTTTCACCACAGTCTCGGGAGAAATCCCAGTCGTCCCTTGAAGCCTTGGGGCCCTCGGGCCCCAACGCAGGCTGGGTTTCCAGTGGCCACGCGTTATTGCACAGAGAGGTCTGTTCTCAGTCAGACTGGTAAGGCTACGCAGGTGAGATCAGCCCTTGATAGTGGTCTAGTGCCAGCCTGGTACAGAAGCACGGTAAGACTACGGCCACTACTAGTTATCACACTAACAGAAAAGCTTCACATTCCACACAAAGACCAGCATCCGCTGGGCCCGCTGGGCTGGCTCTACCTTTCACATAAGTCTAAGTGATTGTTTTAATCTAGACCTAGGAGGAAAGATTTCACACCAGCCTTTTCTTCACATAAGGTTTGTGTAGCATTGTCTTAGGAGTAGCCATGAAGGCAGAAATGTTTAACTCTTCTTTGCCAAAACATCTGTTTTGACGCCTGTCCAGTTTCAAAAAAGAAAACAAAAGCCCATACATACACTTGTTATTGCACATCTTTCACACAGACTTGTGTATGTATAATATACATATCTTAAAAACATGCTGCACTTTACAGAATGTGTGTTTAAGATCACGACGCCACAGATGTTTGGAAATGACAAAATCCTTACCCAACAAGGGTAACATTGTTGAGTAGCACACAGGTTTGAAGAACCCACAGAGCAGCAGGTACACGCGGCTGCCTGTGGGCTTGCGGAGGGGGCCGGCCCAGACCGTCCTGAACCTCCATGCCTGCAAGATCCAGCCTTTAGCGCAGGCGGCAGGAAAGGGCTTCTCGTGGAAAAATGGGTGTGGGGAGGATGCTTCTCAAATTGTTGTGCTTCCAGCAATCCAGACGCACCTGGCAGACGGCCTGAAGGCTTCAGACGACCAGCACCGGCCCCTCAGTCCGTCGGGCAGCCATCAGATCTGTGCTCCGCCACAGGTCAGTGTCCAGGTGGATCTCGGGGGTTGGAGCTCTGTATGTGTGCGGCTTCAGATCAGCAGCTGTCTGTCCCTGCTGGAGGGGGCTGTGTTCACTGGTGAAGCAGGTAAGGGGCAGGCTGCCTCGGGGGGATGCAGGGGGAACCAAGATGGCAGAGTTAGTGTGAGGAATGGACTCTTAGAACCTTCTGAGGAGGAAGAATGATTCTATCAACATCTGCATGACAAAGGGAACAGCTTTCGATGAGCGCAGCTATGCTGGCACAGGGGACAGCACCTGGTTCCCCTGTGCCTGTACCCACCTACCTACCTGTGGCGGGCTTACCCCCGGGGGCCTCAGTGTTGCTGGCATTTGAGAAGACCAAGTCCTCAAGGCCTGGCTCATCTCTGCCCACCTTCTCACCCCTCTGCCTTTCGGCCAGCAGAGAGGAAAAGGCAGCAGCTGGGCCTGTCCAGCTGCCCTGCTGGGGCTCTACGGAAAGCAGGGACTGTTGTGCACCAAGGGCTAGGTCTGGCTTCCTGGAGTTTTGACAGGATGGCTCATGGTCAGTGCGGGCCAACCTGTGAAAACCTCATGAGTGTTGTGTGCCTGGCCCATGGAAGGTGTTCAAAATTTCTGGTTTGATTTCAAAGCAAAGATCCCAGGTGAGCACATTCACAAACCTGGGAGCTGTCCTACCCCTGGGAATGGTGGCGGGGGCCTGGTGCTGGCTGGAGCTGTCCCGGAGGGCTTGCCTGCTGACACACATTGCTGGCAGCGTCACTCTGAACTCCCCTCATCTAACCCATTACGAAGCCACCTGCAACACCACAGTGCCATGAGTCTCTCTGGGAAGGGGACAGGGGTCGGCTTGCAGAGCCTGCAGCCTCAGTTGGAGACACAGAACTCCCTGACTGCTGCCAGGGATATAGCCTCCCCACTCGCCCCTCCCTCAGAGCATTGGAGCAGCGCCATCCTCCGGCTTGCAGTCTGTCCCTAGGCTGGGGAAGGGGAAGATGTTTCCATGGCAGGCAGAACCCAGCCCGGAGCCCAGAAGAACCAACGTGCTTCTGATGTGAGAGGAGGGTGGGCTGGGCGCTTCCTTCATCAGACCGGCACCTTCCTTCCCATATGGCACCACAGGTTCCTAGTCCTTCTGTGAAAGGGACAGGCGAGGGCTGAGTTGATCCGGCGAGCACTGGTGAGTGCCACGAGCGTCCACACGTCCCATGCCAGTGAGCGTGCCGTCTGCCCTCACAGAACTTCGCAGGGAGAAACCACCAACCACACACTGCACCCTGGAGTAGAGAGGCCCACGACTGGGAGCAGCCCCGACAGGCTCCCATCCCTGTCCTTCGCCACGTGGCCCTCGTGTCCAGTGTCCTTGCGGCTGTGGCAGGTACAGACTGGCTCTCCGCTAGATGCCAAGGTTCCAGAAAAGCGTGAGCGCCCCACGCCCGCCGGCCTACAGCAGGCAGATGAGGTTTTTGCCCTCCTCTATCTCCTCCTGCACCTTGTCACTGGAGGTGGCGATCTCTGCCTGCGCGGAGAACACGGCGCACACGAAGGTCAGCACGGTGCCGCCGATGGCCGTGTAGAAGGCCCAGCCCAGGGAGCAGTCCCCGGGTTTGTAGGCAGACGCGTAAGGTCCGCAGTAGTCTATGGCTTTCTGGCAGCCCCAGCCAGCGGGGTAGAGGATCAAGCCGAGGATCAGGAAGAGGCCTGCGGGGCAGAAGAGACAGCAGGTGAGACCCCACACTCTGCAGCCAGATGCACCCATACACCCCCAGACCAGGATGGGCTCTGCCCTCCCTGGCCCAGCACCTGTGCTGATGGTGGCCCTGCTCTCCTGCATTGAGCATGAATTCAGGCCACTGGAGGGTGGCCCCTGCAGGAGGGCAGATCTTAGCCCATCAGCACTTCATGCCCAGGAGCCTGTGGTGTGCTGGGAGCAGAGACACCTCCATATTGTGTTTAGAAAGAACTTGCAAACTAGATTTATTTTTATTGGAAAGTCAGATAAATAGAGAGGAGGAGAGACAGAGAAAAATCTTCTCCCTAAATGGCTGCAAGGGTCAGAGTTGTGCCAATCTGAAGCCAGGAACCTCCTCCAGGTCTCCCACGCGGGTGCAGGGTCCCAAGGCTTTGGGCCGTCCTCGACTGCTTTCCCAGGCCACAGCAGGGAGCTGGATGGGAAGCGGAGCTGCCGGGATGAGAACTGGAGCCCATATGGGATCCCAGCATGTGCAAGGTGAGGACTTTAGTCACTAGGCTAGCTCACTGGGCCCTCTGGAAGGTTTTTAAGTGAACCTGGCCTTGAGCACACCCTAAGAAGTGCTGCCCTGTCTTGAAACGTCCTCATGGCTTCGCTGCTCGGGTGTCCTTGAAGGGTGGTGTGTGTGGGGTCCCTGCTGTGCCTGACACAGGCACATTCTGTGCACTGTCAGATACCAGCTATGTGGCAGCCTGGTGTACCTGGCCCTGGCAGCAGAAGCGTCTCCTGAACCCTAGGACCTGAGCTGGCAGGAGCAGCTGGGCCTTGGGGGCCCCGCCCAGCAGGACCTTCTGGGGATGAGGCTGCTGTGGCTTCCCCCAGACAAGGCAGAAGGACACTCTTTCCTGCAAATGATGCGTAATCCACAGGGCCCTATCAAAGCTAGAAAGCCCTGTTTCTTGCATGCCCTGGGATGGTCCTCCCCGTCCTCCCCATCTCATGACAACCTTGCCCCTGAGCTCTGTGTCTCTCCAGCTCTCACAGACATTGTCTGGGCTCAGCAGCTCTTAACGCCCTCTACAGCAGCCTTCCCTTCCACTTTGGGGAGCACACAACAGAAACTTGGGGTGCACAAGGTGAGGAGAAGGCTTTGGGCATCATCTAAGGAGCATTCTAGAGAGTAAAGCCTCACCAAGACAGCCATCCGGGAGAGGGGAGTTAGTGGCACGGCTCTCTAAGCACACGTGTGGCCTGGGAACCGCCTGCACCCCTCCGAGCCCCTAGCACAGCCCGTGTGGGAGTGGAGGGCCTGCGTGTGACCACGGGAAGATTCAGGCCTCCAGCTAGGAAAGGAGTGTCCTTTCCCCGGACACTATGTCCACACCACAGGCCCGCCCTCCAGCCACGACAGGAGACCGTCCTAGCTGCACGGATGCCTGTTCCCTATGGCCCAGCCGAACGCTGGTCATCTCTCAGCCTGGAGCTTTGTGCTTTCTGTGGTGAGGCCAGCACCTGGCACACACTGAATGGCAGTGCCACCTGCTTCATAGTGCCATACTGAGCTACAGTTCCCATGAGTGCAGTAGAGAGCAGCTGGCACTGCCAGTCACCAGGAGCAACATGCACAGCACTGAGTGGCCAAGTCGGACACTCCAGGAGCCACCCCTCCCCTCTCTGCATCACAGCTCTGTGAGCGCGGTGCTGCAGACAGGCCCTGGGGAGTGCGGCAGGAAGTGAGCTCAGGACTGCACCTTGAGCCTGTGCTACCCGACCAGATGGGGCCCAGCAATGGGACAGAACCCACCCATGGTGGGACAGTGCATTTACTGCTGTTGCCCTCACACGTGCCAAGTGTGCACCTGTGAGCTGTGCAGGGCTCAGTGACTGCCACGAATGCCCAAGCTCCACCTCTGGACCCCCTTCCTGGCTGCATGCCTGCTGTACACCAACCTGGGTCTGGGGATCGGACGCTACATCAGGCTGCCGTCTCATGCCCACTGTCCATCCCACCCACCAGGGCCTGGGGATCGGACGCTGCATCAGGCTGCCGTCTCATGCCCACTCTCCATCCCATCCACCAGGGCCTGGGGATCGGACAGAGTCAGGCTGCCGTCTCATGCCCACTCTCCATTCCACCCACCAGGGCCTGGGGATCGGACACAGAGTCAGGCTGCCGTCTCATGCCCACTCTTCATCCCATCCACCAGGGCCTGGGGATTGGACGTTGCATCAGGCTGCCGTCTCATGCCCACTCTCCATCCCATCCACCAGGGCCTGGGGATCGGACGCTGCATCAGACTGCCTGAGTTTTGAACTCCAGGTCTGCAGAGCCAGCAGCCTGCTTGACCTGCACTTGCACGTGTACGGAAGTATCTGGAAGTCGCGTATTTCCATTTCCCACTTGCAGCCTGTTCTTCACTCTGACCTCATCTCAGTGTGTGGGAGTTCAATTCTGACACCATTTGACTCCTGTCTGAGCTCAAGGACTCCGTGAGAAGCTGATGGTACAGTGTGAATACTGGATGACAACCAGGTTGGAGCTGGTGGACAGAGGCCTCCTTCCACATCCCCCTGTGAGACGGCTGATGGCTGGCCAGTAGCTGCCCCTGGCTGAGGCCCACACACCTTCCCCAGCCCTATTGTCTCGCTTTGCCTGCAGCACGGTCAGTGTTGGGACACATCCCAGCAAAGCCGACTTGTCTAGTTTGATGAGGGGGTTTTACCTCGCCCTCCTGTCAAGCAGGTGCTTGTTACACTGCAAGTACAAGAGCTTCTAGAATGCTTCCTCCAGAAACTTCATGGTAGCACACTAGATGACACACAGCAGTGTTCTTGGACCGCAGTCAAAACCTACCAGTTGATTCTGGAAACACCAGGCTCAGGGCTATGAATTTCCCAGGTAGGGAGTGCATCTTGTGACCCCTGGGGTCTCTAGGTACCATTAACCCAGCGGGCACTGCTGGCTCCACCTTCCCTGAGGTTGGCTGCAAGAGCTTGGCACACATAGGCCACTCTGCATCAGCACTGTGGACACACAGGGCTACCTAGCTAATTCTTACAAGATCCCCACCCTGGGAATGGCTGCGTTGCCTTACTTTGCCAACTTTCAGATCTGCCTGGGGATGAGGGGTGGGGAGGCACAAGCCACCTTGGAGGGGCCCAGCCGCTCAGGACCAGGCAGCCCTGCAGTGAGTTCTCGGAGGTGTGCTGCCCTGCTCTTGTGGTGACTTGGAGCCACGCTGTGGGTCCCTAATGTCACAGCAGCAGACTGTCTGGCCGGTGACCATGTGAGCCTGCAATTAAGTGGTTGCCATGGCAAACCACTTTCCCCCTTGCTTGCTTTCACATCTGTAGCTATATCTGGCTCTTCAGGGACTCTGTAGTTGTCTTTGAAAAAGCTGGCAGGGTCTAGATGAGCTCAGACAAACGCCTCCTGGGAGCGCTTGCTCCGGTGGAATCCTGGACGGTCTGTGGGTTCCCCAGGGTCCAGTGTATGAAATGCTGAGGCTGACCGTCTGGAGTGGAATCCCGGAAGGCGCAGACCTGAGCAGGCCTTCACACTGGTGGGCTTCCAGCGACGCCCTGAACAGCAGCGTGGTGCCTCCTCACGACTGAGCAGCCAAGGGAGTTGGGAACCCTGTCCAGACAGAAATCGAGTCCCCCAGGGGTCCCTGCGTCTCCCTGAGGGGGAAGCCTATCCGGGTGGGGGTTCTCTGACACAAGGCAGTCCACAGTCCAAAGGTGTACTCCCATGTGGTCCCGGGGCCTGTGAGAGGCTGACTGCCCACTCACTGTGTTGGGCAGCTGTGCATGGCTCCTGACCTGGCAGTGAATGGGCAGCACGGAGGCGGCAGGACCCCGCGGTGGAAGGAGCTGCCCCTCACCCAGATGCCTTGAGCTGTTTGCACCCATGGGGGGATGTGCTGTGAGAAAAGCAGCCCCAACACATTGGATTGCAGAGCAGGGCAGCCCTCGCCCCAGGTACCTACTCTCCATGCCCTCCCCACAGGTCACTTCTTGCCTCACAGTCAGGAAAGCTGAGCTGGCCCACCAGGCTCCTGGCTACTGGCCTGGGGACAGAGCCCTGCTCCCCCGAGACCCCCACAGGCAGGAGAGGGCACGGGAGCCACCCAGAAGGGGCTTGGGCACAGGCCGACCCTAACAGCCCACCCCAGGCCCAGCCCGTGCCAGTGAGCCAAGCCCTGAGCTCATGTCCCTGGCTTCTGTCCCAAACCCCAGGCACTGGGGACCCAGACTTCTCAGAGACATATGGGCGTCTCCAAAAAAACCACTGGATTCTGTCATGGAAAACCTCCACCCCTGCAGGCTACAGTCCACAGCTTACTTCCTGGTCACAACCTCCGGAAGACAGCTGGCTGAGCACAGCCCCGAGGGACATGATTCCTACATGTGCCTCTGCCATGTCCAGGCCATGCTCTTGCCCAAAGAGGCCCACGAGGGATAGCTGCACCAACCAGGCACCACATGCAGCCTCCTGAAGGCAGGGAAAGGGCTGCGTGTGCACTGGTTCCAGGCCTGCCTTCTGCTCTTACACAGGCCCAAGGGTGCCCTCCCTCAGCCATACCAGAGCCACACAACAGTCTGCACCCTGAGGCGCTAGATCTGGCCAGAACAGCACAGAGTGCTGGGGCCACCTGTGGAGACACCCCTGCTACCTGGCAGGCACCAACACAGGGCACACGAAGCTCCCCTCTCCCCTGGCTCACTGTGGCCCTGGGCATGGACGGAACTCATGAGGCTCCCCCCACCCAGGCTGACTGTGGCTGTGGGCATGGACGGGACTCACGAGGCTCCCTCCACCCAGGCTCACTGTGGCTGTGGGCATGGACGGGACTCACGAGGCTCCCTGAGGCCGTGGGCATGGACAGGACTCACGAGGCTCCCTGTGGCCGTGGGCACAGACGGGACTCACGAGGCTCCCTCCACCCAGGCTCCCTGTGGGCATGGGCGTAGCACTGTCTGACCCAGCCTTGTGCATGGCCTCTGGCTGCACTAACTCACAGAGGAGGAAGCCAAGGTCTGGCCAAGGTCAGGGTTGAGCCCCGGCTACGGCCAACAGTGAGTGCCAAATTGTGGACACCTGTGCCCATGTCCAGGAGGCAGTGGCCCAGGATTCATACCCAGACCTGGCCACCAAGGTAGGTTCTGCATCCAGTTAACTTTACTGTCCACCACTCTGTGAGTCATTTTGTCTGTCCCTAGACTCAGGAAGTCATGTGGAAGCAGGAAATCTTTTCACACCTGACTTACCAAGCTGCAATACCCAGATGCTGATGGTGTGTTTCTTCGTGGACCACAAGTGCTGGCCAGGCCCCTGGCCTGTGCGTGCTGTGACACTAGGCGCAGCCCAGGAATGCACTAACAGCAGCTGCTGAGCTCTCTGAGCGTCCCTCTAGTCCTGTCTTAAACGCCATGCTGTGTAAGCACACACAGGGCTTGTTTGTCCAAAGAAGCCTCCTTTGGCTCTGGTGAGAGCCGCCTCTGTCTCCATCTGGCCCAGAGGTGAAGGGGCACAAGGGGGAGAGGCCAGAGTCCAGAGCTGCAGCGAGTCCTCGCCAAGGCTCTGTGGGCGGTGCAGCCACTCACAGGGGCCTGCTCGCTGGGTGTGGATTCGCCCTCACCATGAAATGCCACCCTGACTCTCTGCGCACCCCTCACAGCTGCTCCCTTTGACCATGCTCCCCAGAGAGCAGCCTGTACAGCACCCCACCTCTTGCCAGCTCACCCCAGGTTCTGAGCATGGGGGTGAAGCTGAAATGTCAGAAAACCCAGACTGATGCCCTGCGGATCTGCCCTTCCCTGTGCCCAAACTTCCTCCTTCCTCAGCCTCCCCAGGGCCTAAACAGAGCAGAGTCAGCCTTAAATCACACGTGAGTGACCGTTCCCTCACACACACTTGTCTGCAGCCAATGATGTGAAGTGGCCAAGGACCACACTGCAAGATCTGCTGGGTGCACTTGTGTCCCTGGGGACTGAGAACTACCTGCAAGTGACAGACAGCCCCTGCCTGCGTCAGGCATGGGACTGGAGCCTGGAGCCACTGGGTGTGGGGTCCCAGCCTGGGGCTGCTGGGTGGGAAGGGTGGTCACAGCCTGGACCTGTGGGGTGTTCCAGCCTGGGGCTGCTGGGCAGGCTCAGCACTGAGACTCCAGTGCACGCAGCCATAGGGCGTGCTGAGGGATGGCCCACCATGCCCTGCATTGAAACTAGACACATCAATGTCTCTCCTGCTACCAATACATACTGGGGACCAATGCATCTTCTGATGAAAGCATGGGCCCTGTGTGTGACAGGGTGGGCTACTTTGCCTGTGGCACCAGCATCCCATATCAGCATAGTCTGACTCCCTGCTATGACTTGGGAAAGCATCAGAAGATGGCCCAAGAGCTTGGGACCCTGCACCCACATGAAAACCTGGAAGAAGCTCCTGGCTTTGGATCAGCCAGCTCTGGCTACTGCGGCCACTTGGGGAGTGAACCAGCAGATAGAGGGAAGGAAAATCTGCCTGTTAAATAAAAATAAAGCCCAGCTAGGGTCCACTCCTGGACCAAGCTGTGTCTGCCTGGCCTTCATAATCTCTATACCCTGCTGGTGCCAGGCAGCAGGGGGCGACTTCCTGTCTCACAGTCACCTCAGCTGCTACGCCCTAACCCGTCTTCAACAAGCCCATCAGTGACAAGTACCCAGGGCACACAAGGATCTGCCTGCCTTTTCTGAGAACATTCCACCAATATCCTGAGATGGTGTAAGCCAGTGCAACACTGAACACAGAACTGCTCTGGGCTGCCCAAGGCCCGGGGGGAGAGGACAACCAGCAGGCTGCGTGGCGCTGCCCTCCGCGTGCCGACGCGTCCTGGTCGTACCTGCAATGCCCTGCAGCAGACCGCACACGTTGAAGATGCTTTTCCTCATGACGCTCTGCACACACATGGAGAAGACGGACACCAGGGCCACCGTGCACAGCACCAGGATGCCCGCGGCCAGGAAGATGGCCGTGGCCTGCCAGAAGCCGCTGGCAATCTCACCAAAGCTCTCCGCGTAGGGGCCGCAAAGCACGTCCCGCGGCACCTGCTGCACGCCCGGGTTGCGGATGCAGCGCGCGTACAGGCCCAGTGTGGGAGGAGGGCGCTCGGGCCCGCCAGGGCCCGCCGGCTCGCTGCCGCCACGGGTCCGCGCCTTCCCGACCAGCCAGTCTGCGCTCATGAAGGCGACGAGCTCGGCGAACGCCACGACGATGCTCAGGAGCGTCCAGAGCATGGAGCGGCAAGTCACAATGACCACACGGCACATGGCGGCCTGCTGGGCGAGGCTCAGGCGTCCAGGGCTCGGGCGCTGCTCCCAGAGGCCGGCATGCACGGGCCTCACCTGTAGGAGAGACAAGGTGGTGAGCAGTTTGGCTTGTGGATTCCCAACAGGTGAGCCCACCCCAGGCGCCACCCCACGCTGCACCACTAGTTCAGTGTCAGGCAAGCCCTCCTCAGCTAACTCAACTGCCTGAGAAGCGAGCCTCACGAGCAATCGCCAGACAGCGCCCTGCACACGAGCAACATCCACACAGAACACAGGCAACACGGGTTCAGGACCGGCGCCCCCAGGGAGGTTATTCCGCAAGGTCACTGATGACGCCAGCGTGGCAGGTGACAGCAGGGCGACCCCACAGCAGGAATGCAGCCCCCTGAATGCTGCCTTTCAGCACTGTGCCCCAAAGGGGCATTGCACCCGCCCCCACACCCTCGCTGTGCTCCCGTCCCTGGCTCTGCCTCTCACATGGGTGCTGGCCTGGTGCAGCCTGTTTCTGCCAGAGCAGGCTCCAAGCCTGCTGTTTGCTCACTGCCTCGCCCAGCAGCTGAGCCAGCTGGGACAATCTCAGCATGGCTCCCACTCATGTGTCCCCACTCCCCATCCCCATGCTGCCAAATGGGGAAGCCACTGAAGAAGAAGCTCCTGCCAGTGAGGGCTTTGTGCCCAGCAGGTGGAGAGAGCCCAAGGCTCCCACAGCACCTCCCCCTTGATGAGAACACCCAGTCCAGCTCCAACCATCTCTCCCAGGCTGGTGGCACTTGTCCCCTCCCAGTGTGCACTGTCCTGCCAGCATGCTACACTCGGGGTCCAGAATCCACCAGGAGACGGCATGGGGACGCATGGAGGCCGCATCAGAGGCCATGGCCATGTTGGGGACCGCCAGAGGGCAGACAGCTTGTACAGGCATCTGAGCTGGGTGTGGTGCTCAGCACGGCAGGCACCTGCTGAAGCAGAGCCCGTATCGAAGGAGACCAGGGCATGGCTGCACACCATCTCCCCCAGTGGCTCACGCTGCTGCCCTGTGATGCCCTCTGCCTGCACGGCCCGGAACTCCTGTGTTCACACAGCCCTCTGACCTCCAGGAAGTGATGCTATGACTGGCACAAGGTGAAACAGGAAATCCGAGAGAGCGTGGCAGACACTTGTGACAGCACCACAAAGCAGCTGCCCGGGCCCTCCAGTGTCCACTGTCTGGACCCACTAGGAGAGAAGGGACTTGGTGCTGTGCCCAGTGGCTGGGGTTTATAATGACCCTGACAGCCTCCTGCCAGGACACATGGGAATCCCCACACAGGGTCACACGCAGCAGAAGAGCAGACAGAAACAGCGAGGCAGCAGCTGAAGGTGTTTCCACAATCTGGCCCCCGCCCCCGGCGCCAGGAGCTGCAGGTTGGACCCTCTGCAGACGCCACCCTGGTCCCGCTGCGGCTCCCCAGCAGCATGCCAGTCACAGGCATGCCGCACAACGCACACGGCGGCTCTCCCAGTTTCTGCCAGGGCCTAGAGTCCTGGAGTTCTCCCTCATCTCACGGACCTCACCCCTCCGGGAAGTGGTGCTCACGAAGCACCTTCTGATGCTGAAGCACTTGAGGGCTCTGCGCCAGCCCCCCTTCCCAGACCAGGCCCTGGCAGACCCCTGCTCACAGCTGCTAGCAGGCACAGGGCCAGTCCTCGCTTGTTCACCTGCCTGGCACCTGGCAAGGCAGAGAAATGAGGCAGGAAAGAGACAGGGGGCCCCCAGGGTTGGCATCAAGCAGGCCACTGAGCAGGGTGCCATCCAGGAGCATTGCCCCGAGAAGTCACAAGGTCTTCCTAGGATGGGAGCAGGTGGAAGTCTGTGGGGCTTAATTCCAAGGGGCGCAGCAGCAGAAGCTTCTCCTGGGTCCCTCAGATGGCCGCCACCATCAGTGCTGGGCTGGGTCAGCTGGCGGTGTGCAGGCCCTCAGCAAGGGAGACGTGCTGGACTCCCTGAGTGCGGGTGTGTGCATGCACAAGCTTGTGTGTTAGCGAGGGTGTGTGTGTGCAGTCATAACTGTATGTGTGGGTGTGTGTGCAGTCATGACTGAGGAGCGAGAGTGTGCGTTAAGTATGTATACATTGTGTACATGGATGAGAGCAGAAATGGAGCCTGAAGGAGACATAATCCATTAACCCAGGCAGCCAGACCTAGGGACAAACAGAATGCAGAGCACAGCCCTGGCATTGGGGGCACTTGGTGGTCAGCCAGGGACACTGCCCGGCAGCTCGTGTCCAAGTCGGCTGTGCATGGCCACCACCCTACCTCGCTGCCCCTCGCTGAGGTCACCAGGGGACAAGGCCCGCATGGGTGAGGTGGACAGCCTTCTTTAGGCTGGTGTGCCACTGTCCCATGCAGCAGGCCACCCGGGCATGCAAACACATGTGCTTTCCTCAGCAAGGACACCCAAAGGGCCCAGAATGGTGGCGGCAGGGCCCAAATGGGCACTGGGACGTGACGGTGTGCCTCATTCTGGCACTGCTGTCACGTGCCCTCAGCCCAGCCTGTGCCACTAAAAATGATCCCATGCCATCCATGCGGACATTGCCCAGGTTGGAGAAATGAAACCCTAGGCCTAAGCCAGGAACTGGGCAGCAACAGGAGGCACACACAGCCAGCCCCACCCACGCACACGGCCGGCTTCACCCGCACACAGGGCCGGCCTCACCCATGCACACGGCCGGCTTCACCCATGCACACGGCCGGCCTCACCCACGCACACACACGGCCGGGCTCCCCTGCACACACACAGCCGGCCTCCCCTGCACACACATGGCCGGGCTCACCCATGCACACGGCCGGCTTCACCCGCACACATGGCCGGCCTCACCTGCACACACACGGCCGGGCTCACCCATGCACACGGCCGGCTTCACCCGCACACATGGCCGGCCTCCCCTGCACACACACGGCCGGGCTCACCCATGCACACGGCCGGCTTCACCCGCACACATGGCCGGCCTCCCCTGCACACACGGCCGGCCTCCCCTGCACACACACGGCCGGCCTCACCCATGCACACGGCCGGCTTCACCCGCACACACGGCCGGCTTCACCCGCACACATGGCCGGCCTCCCCTGCAGACACACGGCCGGGCTCACCTGCACACACGGCCGGCCTCCCCTGCACACACGGCCGGGCTCACCTGCACACACGGTCGGCCTCACCTGCACACACATGGCCGGCCTCACCCATGCACACAGCCGGCTTCCCCTGGACACACAGCCAGCCTCACCTGCACACACAGTTGGCCTCCCCTGCACACACAGCTGGCCTCTCACACCTGTAGCCACCCCAGGAGCCCCTGCAGGCTGAGCCCTGAGGTCACATGGTGGGAATTTCACACGTGTCCAGCGACGGCACTGTTTGCTCAGTCGCTGCTTGGCTGAGTCCCCAGATCCTCCTGCCTGTGGGGGTCTCAGTGTGGGGAGACGAGAGACAGACACATCAGCCCTGTATTTGCAGCTCACTTCTGTGTTGGAAATGAACCTTGAAGAAGCCGTTGATATATCTTCTCTCTCTCATACACACCAGATGTGCAGAGTAACAGTGATGGCAGCCTGATCTCAGACTGACCCCTGGGGGCACTGTCCACCTCTGTCATCTGGGGTCACTTTTAACTCCAAAAGATCTGGCACCAGCCCTGTCATCTGTCCCCCGCTGCACTCGCCCCGCCTCCCGTCCCTCCTCCCACCCGTCCACCAACACACAGGACTCCCCGTCTCCAGGCCTGTCCTGTCCAGCTTCAGGTGAGCGTGGGGACGTGGAGGTCTGCCATGTAGATGGCTCGGGAGCTGCAGAGCATGTCTGCCGACACCTAAGTGGCACCACAGTCAACCTGCTACCAAGAGGCTTCCGTTCTAAACCATCCTGTGTCAGCAGTAGCCATGAGTGGCTTTGCAAAACCTGTTCTCCAGCAACTACACAGCAAACAGGCAGAGTTCCCGGAGGCGAGCGCAGTGGGCTGTTACAGGCCTGCCCCTGCAGCTCAGCAGCCGCACCTGCGCTGAATCCCACATGACTGCCCAGGGACCTCACCTTGCCCTGTAGCCTCAGTGTTCCTGTCAAGTCCATGCAGCAGATCTGCCTGGGAGCAGGTGGCCCAGATGCCCGAGGGTGTGTCTGCTGCCCCTCAGGTGACGGGAAGCCAGGCCCCAACCGGGCCTCAGGTTGAGAAAAGGCCCACACAGTAAAGAACAGGGAGTCCCTCGGAGGAGCTTGGGGACATGGCTGCTGCCAGAGGGTCCTGAGGGGGGCCATTGTGTGACGGTCGGAGCGTGGGGTCTATGAAAGTGCCAAGTGCACACTGCAACCATGTCTGGTCTGCCACGTGCTCCTGCCAAGCCGTGGCCTTCCATGGACACCTGCCCCCTGATCTCGGAGTTCAGCCCCCTGTGACCATGATCACACTCCCAGAAACTGGGGTGGGAGGAGCCGCGCCGCGGAAGCTTCCGTTGACCTCAAGTGAGGCTGCTGCACTGCTGCCAAGCCGTCACTCATGGGCATGACTCCTTGCTGCAAACCACCAGCTGACCCTTTCTATAGTGAGCGGACACCATGACAATTTCAAAGAGCGATGAAGACCAGCGCTGTTGCACAGCATAGTAAACTACTGCCTGCAACACCCAATGGGGGCTGGTTCAAGTCCCAGCTGCCCCACTTCCAATCTGGGGAAAGCAGCAGCCGATGACCCAAGTTCTTAGGCCCCTGCACCCACAAGGGAGACCTGGATGGAGATCTGGGCTCCTGGCTTCAGTCTGGCTTAGCCAAGCAGAGTACTGCCCTGGAAGACAGGACAGCAAAGGGGTGGGGACACGACGGACCGTACGGCAGGTGACCTATTCACGCAGGAACAGGAGGCTGGGGACATGTGCACACAGAACGCCTCGCTGTCCCCACCACAGGAGGCTGCCGCTCCCACAGAAAGATGCTGGGGCTTCAACTCGAGGCTCCTGTTCCCAAGGAAGAACAGAGAGCACGGTCCCCCTTCTGTGGCTGGTGTGCTGAAGCAGGACGCCACGTGCAGAGGCTGCAGGATCTGCTCCA